GTTTGAGAGCCCCTGCTACACTAGTGATACTTGTGGGTGACAGTTTGAGAGCCGCTGCTACACTAGTGATACTTGTGGGTGACAGTTTGAGAGCCCCTGCTACACTAGTGATACTTGTTGACAGTTTGAGAGCCCCTGCTACACTAGTGATACTTGTTGGTGACAGTTTGAGAGCCCCTGCTACACTAGTGATACTTGGTGGGTGACAGTTTGAGAGCCCCTGCTACACTAGTGATACTTGTGGGTGACAGTTTGAGAGCCCCTGCTACACTAGTGATACTTGGTGACAGTTTGAGAGCCCCTGCTACACTAGTGATACTTGTGGGTGACAGTTTGAGAGCCGCTGCTACACTAGTGATACTTGTGGGTGACAGTTTGAGAGCCCCTGCTACACTAGTGATACTTGGTGACAGTTTGAGAGCCCCTGCTACACTAGTGATACTTGTGGGTGACAGTTTGAGAGCCCCTGCTACACTAGTGATACTTGTGGGTGACAGTTTGAGAGCCCCTTCTACACTAGTGATACTTGTGGGTGACAGTTTGAGAGCCCCTGCTACACTAGTGATACTTGTGGGTGACAGTTTGAGAGCCCCTGCTACACTAGTGATACTTGTGGGTGACAGTTTGAGAGCCCCTGCTACACTAGTGATACTTGTTGACAGTTTGAGAGCCCCTGCTACACTAGTGATACTTGTGGGTGACAGTTTGAGAGCCCCTGCTACACTAGTGATACTTGTTGACAGTTTGAGAGCCCCTGCTACACTAGTGATACTTGTGGGTGACAGTTTGAGAGCCCCTGCTCCACTAGTGATACTTGTTGACAGTTTGAGAGCCCCTGCTACACTAGTGATACTTGTGGGTGACAGTTTGAGAGCCGCTGCTACACTAGTGATACTTGGTGACAGTTTGAGAGCCGCTGCTACACTAGTGATACTTGGTGACAGTTTGAGAGCCCCTGCTACACTAGTGATACTTGGTGACCGTTTGAGAGCCCCTGCTACACTAGTGATACTTGGTGACAGTTTGAGAGCCCCTGCTACACTAGTGATACTTGTGGGTGACAGTTTGAGAGCCCATGCTATACTAGTGATACTTGTGGGTGACAGTTTGAGAGCCCCTGCTATACTAGTGATACTTGTGGGTGACAGTTTGAGAGCCCCTGCTACACTAGTGATACTTGTGGGTGACAGTTTGAGAGCCCCAGCTACACTAGTGATACTTGTGGGTGACAGTTTGAGAGCCCCTGCTACACTAGTGATACTTGTGGGTGCAGTTTGAGAGCCCCTGCTACACTAGTGATACTTGTGGGTGACAGTTTGAGAGCCCCTGCTACACTAGTGATACTTGGTGACAGTTTGAGAGCCCCTGCTACACTAGTGATACTTGTGGGTGACAGTTTGAGAGCCCCTGCTACACTAGTGATACTTGTGGGTGACAGTTTGAGAGCCCCTGCTACACTAGTGATACTTGTGGGTGCAGTTTGAGAGCCCCTGCTACACTAGTGATACTTGTGGGTGACAGTTTGAGAGCCCCTGCTACACTAGTGATACTTGTTGACAGTTTGAGAGCCCCTGCTACACTAGTGATACTTGTGGGTGACAGTTTGAGAGCCCCTGCTACACTAGTGATACTTGTGGGTGACAGTTTGAGAGCCCCTGCTATACTAGTGATACTTGGTGGCAGTTTGAGAGCCCCTGCTACACTAGAGATACTTGTGGGTGACAGTTTGAGAGCCCCTGCTACACTAGTGATACTTGGTGACAGTTTGAGAGCCCCTGCTACACTAGTGATACTTGTGGGTGACAGTTTGAGAGCCCCTGCTACACTAGTGATACTTGTGGGTGACAGTTTGAGAGCCGCTGCTACACTAGTGATACTTGTGGGTGACAGTTTGAGAGCCCCTGCTACACTAGTGATACTTGGTGGCAGTTTGAGAGCCCCTGCTACACTAGTGATACTTGGTGACAGTTTGAGAGCCCCTGCTACACTAGTGATACTTGTGGGTGACAGTTTGAGAGCCCCTGCTACACTAGTGATACTTGTGGGTGACAGTTTGAGAGCCCCAGCTACACTAGTGATACTTGGTGACAGTTTGAGAGCCCCTGCTACACTAGTGATACTTGTGGGTGACAGTTTGAGAGCCCCTGCTACACTAGTGATACTTGGTGACAGTTTGAGAGCCCCTGCTACACTAGTGATACTTGATGACAGTTTGAGAGCCCCTGCTACACTAGTGATACTTGGTGACAGTTTGAGAGCCCCTGCTACACTAGTGATACTTGTGGGTGACAGTTTGAGAGCCCCTGCTACACTAGTGATACTTGGTGACAGTTTGAGAGCCCCTGCTACACTAGTGATACTTGTGGGTGACAGTTGGAGACACCCTGCTCCACTAGTGATACTTGGTGACAGTTTGAGAGCCCCTGCTACACTAGTGATACTTGTGGGTGACAGTTTGAGAGTCACTGCTACACTAGTGATACTTGGTGACAGTTTGAGAGTCACTGCTATACTAGTGATACTTGGTGACAGTTCGAGAGCCCCTACTACACTAGTGATACTTGTATGTCTGACGTCACTACCTAGCTTACAATCCCTGCAAGCTTAGTCGTTTGTTTAATCTGCTATAACAGAAACAGATGCACTCTACCTCACCTATCCTACGGAAGGTCAGGATACTTCACATTTAATATTGTCCTCAGTCCGCCATTTCTCACCACATATGACGTCTTCTCTCCACAGAGTTAGGTTTTTATTTTAGCTCTAACGTCCAAACATGACCTCACACTGCCCATCCCATCCTTTGGAATGACGCAACTCTTTTTCTTACCTGTTTAGAGAAACCGAAAACATTTTAAGTCGATTTCTTACTCACACTGATTTGTTACCCCTCACCACTCCCCCTCCCTCCGAGACTCAAAGTAAACAAAACTGGTCCAACTTAAGGATTCCTATAAAAATACCCGGATATTCAAATTTAAGAAAAAATCAAGAGCCAAACCAAGCATAAGCGCTAGGTGGTCAATGGGAGTTAACTCTAGCAAATACTTCTAGCGATTTTCTCCCTTGCCTAAACCATGGCAGATTAAATTCTATAAAACATGAATTACTTCCCTTAGACCACCGAGGAAACTTTTATATTATGAAGTCCAGAATGTGTGTGCTAATTTAGTCCAATGGGTTGTGTGTGTGTGCTAATTAAGTCCAATGGGTTGTGTGTGTGTAGCTTGCATACTCAACATTTACATAATTTTTTTTTCGAAAAAGTCTGTTATTTCATTTTTTTTTAAATAAATAACAAAAGAAACATGGCCATTGACGTAAAATACATGTTGAATGCAGGTCAATAGTTTTGTGTTCAACATTTAAATATTTTGATGTAAAGTTTCCCGTCGTCCACCTGAACTCAATCCTCATATCCCCCCCCCCCCCCCCACCCATTATACACACAATTTACAAGCTCCATAAGGGATTGGGGGAAAAAAACATTTTTGTTTCTGTGAGGATACTAGCACAACCTGCTGGGTATGAGGATACTAGCACAACCTGCTGGGTATGAGGATACTAGCACAACCGGTATGAGGATACTAGCACAACCTGCTGTGCATGAGGATACTAGCACAACCTGCTGTGTCTGAGGATACTAGCATAACCTGCTGTGTCTGAGGATACTAGCATAACCTGCTGTGCATGAGGATACTAGCACAACCTGCTGTGTCTGAGGATACTAGCATAACCTGCTGTGTATGAGGATACTAGCACAACCTGCTGTGCATGAGGATACTAGCACAACCTGCTGTGTCTGAGGATACTAGCATAACCTGCTGTGTCTGAGGATACTAGCATAACCTGCTGTGTATGAGGATACTAGCACAACCTGCTGTGTATGAGCATACTAGCACAACCTGCTGTGTATGAGGATACTATTACAACCTGCTGTGTATGAGGATACTAGCACAACCTGCTGGGTATGAGGATACTAGCACAACCTGCTGGGTATGAGGATACTAGCACAACCGGTATGAGGATACTAGCACAACCTGCTGTGCATGAGGATACTAGCACAACCGGTATGAGGATACTAGCACAACCTGCTGTGCATGAGGATACTAGCACAACCTGCTGGGTATGAGGATACTAGCACAACCTGCTGTGTATGAGGATACTAGCACAACCTGCTGGGTATGAGGATACTAGCACAACCTGCTGTGTATGAGGATACTAGCACAACCTGCTGTGTATGAGGACACTAGCACAACCTGCTGGGTATGAGGATACTAGCACAACCTGCTCTGTATGAGGATACTAGCACAACCTGCTGTGTCTGAGGATACTAGCACAACCTGCTGTGTATGAGGATACTAACACAACCTGCTGTGTCTGAGGATACTAGCACAACCTGCTGTGTATGAGGATACTAACACAACCTGCTGTGTCTGAGGATACTAGCACAACCTGCTGTGTATGAGGATACTAACACAACCTGCTGTGTCTGAGGATACTAGCACAACCTGCTCTGTATGAGGATACTAACACAACCTGCTGTGTATGAGGACACTAGCACAACCTGCTGTGTCTGAGGATACTAACACAACCTGCTGTGTCTGAGGATACTAGCACAACCTGCTGTGTATGAGGATACTAGCACAACCTGCTGTGTATGATGATACTAGCACAACCTGCTGTGTCTGAGGATACTAGCACAACCGGTATGAGGATACTAGCACAACCTGCTGTGTATGAGGATACTAGCACAACCTGCTGTGTCTGAGGATACTAACACAACCTGCTGTGTATGAGGATACTAGCACAACCTGCTGTGTATGATGATACTAGCACAACCTGCTGTGTCTGAGGATACTAGCACAACCGGTATGAGGATACTAGCACAACCTGCTGTGTCTGAGGATACTAGCACAACCTGCTGTGTATGAGGATACTAACACAACAAGTTAGAGAACAATTTCACGCAGGACAACAAAACTAGCAACACTAAGAGATAAAGGGCGTCACCCAACGTTTTATTTGTTTATGTCAATAACAAAATGTACAAATAAAATACTGAAGATGCGACCAAAGGTCTTCATTAGAGAAATAGATAATAGCTCCAGCTTACATCAATAAGTTAACAGCCAACACATTACATGTCACATCTAAACAATAAAACATGTCATTTGTACAGCCGACATTTCATGTCACATTTAAGCAGTAAAACATGTCATTTGTACAGCCTACACATTACATGTCACATCTAAACAATAAAACATATCATTTGTACAGCCGACATTACATATCACATCTAAACAGTAAAACATGTCATTTGTACAGCCTACACATTACATGTCACATCTAAACAATAAAACATATCATTTGTAAGACAGAGGGGGGGGGGGGGGGTGTCGAGGACAATTTATAGGACCAGGACAAGACACAGGACTAAGACACGACACAGCTACTCCGCTTCATGTTCTCCGGAAGTGAGGTCTGCAGCGCCGCCTGAGCCGCCTTCTCAAGGATCCGCTTGATGGCGCCACCGTTGCTTTTGGCCGAACACTCGAGGTAGAACGAGGTCCCCATCTCTGTGGCCGCCTTCAGCCCGTCCCCGTAGCTGATGAACTTTGTCACGTCACTTCCCTCCGCCATGGCTTTAGACCGCAAGTCTGTCTTCAGCCCCACGATGACGAAAGGTGTGTCTGCCGGACTGTACTTCCGGATTTCTGGACAGACATTTTAAAAAGTGACGTTTTACAGCTAACAGTTACAGCAAGATCAAGGCATGTTCATGTGACTTTATTTGTTATAAAGGCAATGGCCGTTTCGTGTACTTGTGCCACTGATGAAACGGTTTCAAACAACTGTGTAGTTACCTGGTAACCACTGGTAACGGATTCTTTCGAACGTTTCCGGTCTGGCCACGTCAAAACATAAGACAAACACATCCGCAGAACAGCAGACTTTTTCTCGAAGTTTCTCGTACTCATCCTGGCCAAAACAAGACAAATTCTTCATCAGGCCAAGACAAGACAAATTCTTCATCAGGCCAAAACAAGACAAATTCAACATCAGGCCAAAACAAGAAAAATTCTTCATCAGGCCAAGACAAGACAAATTCTTCATCAGGCCAAAACAAGACAATTCTTCATCAGGCCAAAACAAGACAAATTCTTCAGGTCAAAACAAGACAAATTCTTCAGGTCAAAACAAGACAAATTCTTCAGGTCAAAACAAGACAAATTCTTTCAGGTCAAAACAAGACAAATTCTTCATCAGGTCAAAACAAGACAAATTCTTCAGCTCAAAACAAGACAAATTCTTTATCAGGTCAAAACAAGACAAATTCTTCAGGTCAAAACAAGACAAATTCTTTATCAGGTCAAAACAAGACAAATTCTTCATCAGGTCAAAACAAGACAAATTCTTCAGCTCAAAACAAGACAAATTCTTCATCAGGCCAAAACAAGACAAATTCTTCATCAGGTCAAAACAAGACAAATTCTTCTTCAGGTCAAAACAAGACAAATTCTTCAGGTCAAAACAAGACAAATTCTTCATCAGGCCAAAACAAGACAAATTCTTCATAGGTCAAAACAAGACAAATTCTTCGTCATGTCAAAAGAAGACAAATTCTTCGTCATGTCAAAAGAAGACAAATTCTTCAGGTCAAAACAAGACAAATTCTTCATCAGGCCAAAACAAGACAAATTCTTCATCAGGTCAAAACAAGACAAATGCTTCATCAGGTCAAAACAAGACAAATTCTTCATGTCAAATCAAGACAAATTCTTCATCAGGTCAAAACAAAACAACTTAAGGTCAAACCGAGACAAAGTTGGCAGATATAAATTCAACCTGAAGTCGTAAATTAAAAAAACGTCTCACCTGGCCATACGTGTCTACTAAGGTCATCTTGACCTCGACATTCTCCTGTACAAAGGTCACAGGTTGACTAGTCACATGATCGAACTCTAACAAATTAGATAATGATAAACAAAGTCAATTTGGGGGAAGGGGTATGTGTGTACACATAGCTTGCACGCAGTAAATGTGCAAAAATATATTGGGGGAGCTAAATCAGTTTGTGTCAGGGGTCAAACTACTCGGGTCAGAGGTCAAACTACTCGAGTCAGAGCTCAGTCTATTTTGAGATCCAACACACGAACACATAAATAACACACACACACACAGAAACTGAACGTCAGGTCGTGTTGAGCCATCAATCACAGTGACGTCATCAATCATGCTGACGTCATCAATCACCACACCTGACGGTCGGTCGCGTGTGTAGCGACCACGTGACGTGTCAGAAGCTGTCAACAACCACAAGCTGGTGTTTGTGTTTTGTCCCCCCCCCCCAGACATTGTGGTCTCCCCGTGGTACCGCCTCTGGGGTGTCGGGGTGGCAGCGGGTTGTCACGTGATGGGTTCACACACAGGAGTGAGGCTTGTGGAGTGTCGTGATTTACGTGAAATGTTGACACCCCACGCCGACACTCGCATGACCCGACCCTACCACGTGACACCGCCAGACAGTGAGTACCCCCCCCCCCCCCCTGGTCACCAACTCGAGTGCTACACACGACACACTTCAAGTGCTACACACGACACACTTCAAGTGCTACACACTTTGACACGGTCACATGTCAAGCTGACACACGTGTGACTCACTAATTAGGGAAAATATTGTTAATTGCACTAATGAGTCTCTGGCCAGGATACACGCACTAAATAAACACTGCCGTCTGTGTGAGGGAGGATACAGGGACTAGGGTAGAGTACTCGCCTAGACCAGAGGTGTACAGAGTTTCTTTCAGGCATTTCTCGTACGGGGGGGGGGGTATACAGGGACTAGGGTAGAGTACCCGCCTAGACCAGAGGTGTACAGAGTTTCTTTCAGGCATTTCTCGTACGGGGGGGGGGTATACAGGGACTAGGGTAGAGTACTCGCCTAGACCAGAGGTGTACAGAGTTTCTTTCAGGCATTTCTCGTACGGGGGGGGGGGGGGTATACAGGGACTAGGGTAGAGTACTCGCCTAGACCAGAGGTGTACAGAGTTTCTTTCAGGCATTTCTCGTACGGGGGGGGGGTGGGGGCGACCGGAGAAAGAAGTCTTAGAGACTGTTTACAGACACGCATGAAAGAACATTCTAGACAAACATTTGGGTACTTACAGACACGCATGCTGGGACATGTGAGACCAGCTCATGGTCCGGCAGTACTCACCTGCGTGTCCGTCCATCGGACCAGGTGGACACTCCAGGGGAAAGCGGCCAATCAGATGGGTCAGCAGCATCGAGCTCTTGCCTACGTCACCGTCGCCCATGACGACACATTTGACGCTGTGGGTCAGCATGGGTTGAGTTTTGCTGGACTTGCGTCTGCTGGACGACTTCCTTAGTTCGGCCATTGGTCAGTCCAGGTGGCCAGTCCTGCGAACGTGTTCTCCCTTGTAATGAGCTTCAATCTGCAGTTGACCTACTGTTTACAATAACCTACTGTTTGTAAGGACCTACTGTTTATAAAGACCTATTGTTTACAAAAAGACCTCTATAAGTGATGACCTTGAAGACGTGAGTCTATAGATGCCGCAGGGTAAGACGTGATCACGTGAGCCAACAAACCTTGCTAACCTTACAGTCGTGGGTTCCAGGCCCACTGAGAACATAGCAGCAACCGAGCCACCTGTTGAGAGAAATAAAACAACAGTGGTACCGACACACCTGCACTAGTACCTGGACATTACAGTCGGCAGGTACCGACACACCTGCACTAGTACCTGGACATTACAGTCGGCAGGTCTGTTAACTAACCTCTGTGGTATCGAGACCGTATCCACCAGCGATACTGTGAGAAAACTCGACACGATACAAGCATCGAATAATTGCTTACAACTGGCTGTACATGTCGTGTGTACAAGGAAGTGAACACACGAACTTGTACCTTAAACCCTAAGTAAGGGTTAAGTTCGGGATCAAAGTATCGTTATCGGCGATACCGGGTATTGTGCAAGTCCTACTGACGAGTATCAAACAACATACGACACTGGGAATACAACCATAACCAGCTAGTGAATTCATCTCAACGTGTGCACTCACTGAAATCATATCCCTTGTCTGATAATCGAAAACTATATTTTAAACTGAACTAACCCTACACAGCATCTCGTTTGAGAACTTTTTGTTAAAGCTTATATTGAGGTTTATTACAATCGAAATTAAGAAAATAGAATGCTACTTGGCTCTACGATACAGAAAAAAAACTATTAATGGGGGTGTCATTTTTTGCTAACTTGAATAAAGATATTGGGGGGGGGGGGCGCAAAATTGTTAGTTCACCCCGGGCGCCGAAATGAGTTGGTACGCCACTGTCGATGTGACACCTTTGTTTCCGCTTTTTTGCCGTCCCAGTCCCTTTCTAAGATACGCCGTTACCCCCCCCCCCCTTCCCACACACACCTACCTACATATACTGATAATATAATCTCAGTCACACACACACTCCCCAATAAAACTAGAAAAAAGTTCATTGAAATGAAAATGTTTTCCATTATTTTATTTTTGCGTTAAAAATACCAAATAAATGTGTACCCACCCTTCCCTTGGCACAAAAATCCCCCCCCCCCCCTTGCTCTGTGACACCTCCCCCCCACCACACCCCCCCCCCCTCATTCCCCTTAATCCCCACCCATGCTTGCTACACACAGTTTTGTCAGAGTGGTCCCTCTTTTTAATCTTTTACTTTTGAATCGCTAGTTTATAGATTCCTCTAGTCTAAGTGAAAATAAAATGATTACACGTTTACATTGTTAAAATATGTTGACTCTAAAAATGGCTAGATCTAGAGATACTTACAGTCGACTGAATCACAGCCTGCACTAAATGTTTAAAGGAAGATCACCAATCGGGGAGCCAATCAACACATCCTAGCACTTCAGCTGAAATCACTACACACCGTCGCCGGTGACGTCACGACACACTAAACATCAACAGCTCACTACCAACAAGACCCAGTCAAACTACCAAACATTGCGGCGGGCGGAAGTTGACGTCATCGCGCGACGTCAGCACACGTCGTGACAATCCAGTGTAGCCAAGAGATCTACAAGCGCGCGCGCAAAGCTCTGTACTCTCGACAACCTTGAGGCTGACACCGACACGGGGCGACACCACAAATAGGGCGGGCGTAAGCATTTGTTTCGAGAGTAAACGCCTGTGCACACAAGTGGTCAACACACAGGCCGTGCCGCCGGCAGCCTTGAGTTAATTAGGAGAGATAACTCTACCAACAACAGTATGCAAACAACGGTCTAGTAGCAGCATACGACAGGTGCTATAATAATGTCATATTGAATTGCGCCCAGATTCAGCTATTGGATTTTTATTCAAGATTCTTTTTCTAGTCGACAAATTGAGAAATCATTACTACATTACATTTCTTTTAGCAATCATTAGTTAAAATGTATGCAGATCTGTAAGGTGATTTTATGATGGAGCTTTTTATCCAAGTGATTTTGCATAGAAACTATATCCTTGAAATATGGTACGGACATGTCTTAATTAAGATGCTAATTAAATGTGACATAATTAATGGCGGCCTTGATAACAAAATAGAAGACGGGGTTAAGATAATATTAGGATTCTCACCCCCCCCCCCCCCAAACCTCCCCTTATTAACTACATGCTTGAGTATAGTTCAGCACAGTTACGCCCCTTTATTCAGCGTCCAGGAACTATAGATTAGCATGTAGGACGTTACTTGTGCTGGATAATTCGATGACGACATTGTGAGGTTAGGGTAACTTAAGCGTGGATCAAATTATGTTTGATAATCATACAATTAATTTTAATTCGGGTCATTGATACCAGTCTACCTGTTATAGACCTACCTACCCAGTCTACATGTTATAGACCTACCCAGTCTACCTGTTATAGACCTACCTACCTAGTCTACCTGTTATAGACCTACCCAGTCTACCTGTTATAGACCTACCTACTACAGTCTACCTGTTATAGACCTACTTACTACAGTCTACCTGTTATAGATCTACCTAGTCTACCTGTTATAGACCTACCTACCTAGTCTACCTGTTATAGACCTACTTACTACAGTCTACCTGTTATAGACCTACCCAGTCTACCTGTTATAGACCTACCTACCTAGTCTACCTGTTATAGACCTACCCAGTCTACCTGTTATAGACCTACTTACTACAGTCTACCTGTTATAGACCTACCCAGTCTACCTGTTATAGACCTACCCAGTCTACCTGTTATAGACCTACCTACCTAGTCTACCTGTTATAGACCTACTTACTACAGTCTACCTGTTATAGACCTACCCAGTCTACCTGTTATAGACCTACCCAGTCTACCTGTTATAGACCTACCTACCTAGTCTACCTGTTATAGACCTACCTACCTAGTCTACCTGTTATAGACCTACCCAGTCTACCTGTTATAGACCTACCTACCTAGTCTACCTGTTATAGACCTACCTACCTAGTCTACCTGTTATGGACCTACTTACTACAGTCTACCTGTTATAGATCTACCTAGTCTACCTGTTATAGACCTACCTACCTAGTCTACCTGTTATAGACCTACTTACTACAGTCTACCTGTTATAGATCTACCTAGTCTACCTGTTATAGACCTACCCAGTCTACCTGTTATAGACCTACCCAATCTACATGTTATAGACCTACCCAGTCTACATGTTATAGACCTACCTAGTCTACCTGTTATAGACCTACCCAGTCTACCTGTTATAGACCTACCTACCTAGTCTACCTGTTATAGACCTACCCAGTCTACATGTTATAGACCTACCCAGTCTACCTGTTATAGACCTACCCAGTCTACCTGTTATAGACCTACCTACCTAGTCTACCTGTTATAGACCTACCTAGTCTACCTGTTATAGACCTACTTACTACAGTCTACCTGTTATAGACCTACCCAGTCTACCTGTTATAGACCTACCTACCTAGTCTACCTGTTATAGACCTACTTACTACAGTCTACCTGTTATAGATCTACCTAGTCTACCTGTTATAGACCTACCCAGTCTACCTGTTATAGACCTACCTAGTCTACATGTTATAGACCTAGTCTACCTGTTATAGACCCAGTCTACCTGTTATAGACCTACCCAGTCTACCTGTTATAGACCTACCTACTACAGTTACACGGTCATGTCTGTAAATTGTTTTTTCTGTTCTTTTAAAGCGTATAAAAAGATCTAAGAGAGTTAAGTCGTGACAAACAATACGGTGTTGCCTCCCCTTTAATCTCCCTCTAACTATCGTCTTCTAGGGTAGGTTATTGTGTACCATTATTAATATAATTAGTCGAAGGCTCTGTCACCCAACCATATGGGGTGATGTATGGTCTACAGCAACTTTTTAGCGCAATTTCCATACTGGCAATTGCGTTTAATAATACGTCATTTCTGATTTCTGGATGGATGGATGGGTGGATGTGTGTCCGCAGCGTTAAGTCGTATCTCCTCCTCAACGAAGCAATATCGAGGACTAGTTCCAAAAGCAAATATGTTAAGCAAGTTCCGAGGATGATTGTGGGCAAAAAAAAATCCCGGAATTCCTTCCTGGATTTCCCGGAAAAGCCAAAAAACCGAAAAAATGCAGTTTTTGGCCCATATCTCGACAACCAGACTACTTAGAGACTTGAAACATTTACCAATCGATTCCTGCCATAATTTAGAACAATATTGCCGAAGAAAGTTTTCAAAAATATCCTTTCGTTCGGTCACAAAAAATTAATTAAGAACAAATAAGTTTATATTTATAGGATGATATTTACTACTTTACTTTTTTAAACTGAGCATCGTGTAGGCCTACACGTTAAAATTAAACTATTTCCGTTGATATAGGTTAATATAGTTGTCTTTTTTTTAGCGCAATTTCCATACTGGTTTCTATTTTGTTTTGAATTATTAAAACTACTTGTGTTGCATTATTTATTTGCTGAATATATGATTTATCTCGATTTAAAATTGTTATGGATAACATAAGGAAATTGCACTTAAATTGTCACTAGACTTTTTATTAACTTGTTTATGTAGATATAAACTTTACATTACCCGTCTCAGTTTACTATAAACTATAATCTAAGTAGATCTAGATCTAGATCTATATAGATTCTAGGATGTAGATCAAAGTAATCAATTTTGAGAGTCCAATTAAGTTTGTTTCGGATAAATAAATTACGAATTTAAAATACAAAATTATATTCATACATTAGACAGTACTATTACTATACTGTATACTTAACTATACTAGTACTAGTATACTTCAAAACGTGAATGACTCACGACCAAACAAGTGCGGGTAGTGTGTTGTTTGGATCTAGATCTAGATCTAGAATCATTTAAAAAACCGGATAAACACAAATCTAAGTCCAAATGGTTAATTTCAGTTAGCCAGACCAAACTGTTTTGTTTCCTTACCGAACTATGAATGAACTGTAATCACAGGAGCCGTCGAATGAATTCAAACTTTGACACACAACATACACGGAAACGTCACAGCGCGAGAATCCGCCGCGCGATGTGTTGTGGGCGTCACTCTCCCATAGACAGCGCGTCACAACATGGCTGACCCAATTCTGGCTGCTCAATGCGGATTTGTTTGTTGTTTCATGGCAAGATTTGAATTCAAGTGTGTGGGAAAATAGAAATTGATGCATGTGTGATAAACAAGAAGCGGATTAAGAGTTGTGTTAGGCTATAATGCCGTGATCCACTGTTTTTTAAATTTGCATGATGTTTAAATTAACACTGTCCTAACTTGTACTTGACTTCTCAGGAGTAGTTGGGCCTCTCGGGAGTAATTGGGCCTACACATATGGGCGCCCAGGGCGTCGACATTTAACACACTCAGAATACATTTATACACTTAGGGGTCATCCATTTATGATGGCCCCCGGGGAGGGGGGGTTTTGTCCATGTGGACATCCACATGTTGAATTGTACATCAAAATACATCTTTAAAAACACCAGCTCAGTGGGTGGATAAATGTACCAAAGATGTAACTGTATATCGCCCGACTAAAAAAAAGTTTAAAAAACAATGTGATCTAGACCTCCCTGATAGATCGTGATAGCAAATCATCGTAGGTCTACATCATTATTTGTGTCAAGGCCTAAGACTGCGTAGATCAAGTTATTTTTTCAAGTAATAAACTAAAAATAACCATGTTAAAGTTAGAAATTTTAATAACGGCGCATGTGGAATGTTCTCGGGGGGTCAGATGTGTAGGTCTCGCGAGAAAAGGGGGAGAGGTGGTTTGTTAAGGAAACACGTGTAACGAGAAGTGTCCGTAAGGTTCAGTAAAAGTAATATGACGTCACGTTGATTAGCCTAATTTTACCCCAACCCATATCGTCATCATTAGCTAGACAGCCACGAATGACATCAAATAGTGCGGTCTACAGCCCCACTAACCCACCCTCTTTAATAAAAAATATTTTATGACTGCCTCCAACCTCCAATAGTGTGTAAAATCGAGAGCTACACAGCGTCCATGCGCGATCACTCTTTCAATAAAAAAAAGCGCTAATAATAGGGCCTGATTTATACTGTCGTTTAAAATATCCCTTTTTTCAACACTTTTTGGGCTGTACTTTTAATACGTAGGCCTAGTAAAGATGTTGCCGAAGATATCAAATTTGTAAGGTGCACTAAATTTTTGTGGACGTCCACATTGGGGGGGGGGGGGGGGGCGTCGAAAGTGGACGAGGGGTGGTCTAAATTACAAATTTTTGTGGACGTCATAAATGGATGACCCTTTAGTTTGAGGACAACTTCCCATCTCTCGACTCATCAACCACTTCATTAAAACAAAGTTCATTTGTGCAGACAAAAACTAGTTTAATGTGGTCAGTGAATAGCGAACATTACAAAAGGGGAGTGCGTTAAAAATATAGAGATGTAGGCGGATATACTCAAACTGTGAATCATTGAATGTGGATGTTTTAAAACCTACGATCATCAAACAGTTGGTTTACACAAAGTCTAGGTCAGTCTACTGCAATGGCTATACGTGGTCATCTTGTACCAGTTTTGTAATTGTAAATGTTCTTTTAATTAAAAACTTTTTGATGTAATAAATACTGTATAATGTAACGTATAGTACCACATACTGTATGATGTAACATTTAGTAACACATACTGTATGATGTAACATATACATGATGTGTCCTACGTCAAGCCTTCACACATTTCACTTTACAATCGAACACAATGTGTCATCACCCCTCTAACGCGTGACACAGTGGCCTATGTAGACCCCTCTAGACACAGTGACCCCCCTCTATGTACGACACAGTGACCCCCGTCTATGTACGACATAGTGACCCCTCTATGTACGACACAGTGACCCCTCTATGTACGACACAGTGACCCCTCTATGTACGACACAGTGACCCCGTCTATGTACGACACAGTGACCCCTCTATGTACGACACAGTGACCCCTCTATGTACGACACAGCGACCCCTCTATGTACGACACAGTGACCCCTCTATGTACGACACAGTGACCCCTCTATGTACGACACAGTGACCCCCATCTATGTACGACACATTGACCCCTCTATGTTCGACACAGTGACCCCCGTCTATGTACGACACAGTGACCCCCGTCTATGTACGACACAGTGACCCCTCTATGTACGACACAGTGACCCCCGTCTATGTACGACACAGTGACCCCTCTATGTACGACACAGTGACCCCCGTCTATGTACGACACAGTGACCCCTCTATGTACGACACAGTGACCCCTCTATGTACGACACAGTGACCCCCGTCTATGTACGACACAGTGACCCCTCTATGTACGACACAGTGACCCCCGTCTATGTACGACACAGTGACCCCTCTATGTACGACACAGTGACCCCCGTCTATGTACGACACAGTGACCCCCTCTATGTACGACACAGTGACCCCTCTATGTACGACACAGTGACCCCTCTATGTACGACACAGTGACCCCCCTCTATGTACGACACAGTGACCCCTCTATGTACGACACAGCGACCCCTCTATGTACGACACAGTGACCCCCATCTATGTACGACACAGTGACCCCTCTATGTACGACACAGTGACCCCTCTATGTACGACACAGTGACCCCCGTCTATGTACGACACAGTGACCCCTCTATGTACGACAAAGTGACCCCTCTATGTACGACACAGTGACCCCTCTATGTACGACACAGTGACCCCCGTCTATGTACGACACAGTGACCCCTCTATGTACGACACAGTGACCCCTCTATGTACGACACAGTGACCCCTCTATGTACGACACAGTGAACCCTCTATGTACGACACAGTGACCCCCGTCTATGTACGACACAGTGACCCCTCTATGTACGACACAGTGACCCCTCTATGTACGACACAGTGACCCCCGTCTATGTACGACACAGTGACCCCTCTATGTACGACACAGTGACCCCCGTCTATGTACGACACAGTGACCCCTCTATGTACGACACAGTGACCCCTCTATGTACGACACAGTGACCCCCGTCTATGTACGACACAGTGACCCCTCTATGTACGACAAAGTGACCCCTCTATGTACGAAACAGTGACACCCGTCTATGTACGACACAGTGACCCCTCTATGTACGACACAGTGACCCCTCTATGTACGACACAGTGACCCCTCTATGTACGACACAGTGACCCCCGTCTATGTACGACACAGTGACCCCTCTATGTACGACACAGTGACCCCCGTCTATGTACGACACAGTGACCCCTCTATGTACGACACAGTGACCCCCGTCTATGTACGACACAGTGACCCCTCTATGTACGACACAGTGACCCCTCTATGTACGACACAGTGACCCCTCTATGTACGACACAGTGACCCCTCTATGTACGACACAGTGACCCCTCTATGTACGACACAGTGACACCTCTATGTACGACACAGTGACCCCTCTATGTACGACAAAGTGACCCCTCTATGTACGACACAGTGACCCCCGTCTATGTACGACACAGTGACCCCTCTATGTACGACACAGTGACCCCCGTCTATGTACGACACAGTGACCCCCGTCTATGTACGACATAGTGACCCCTCTATGTACGACACAGTGACCCCTCTATGTACGACACAGTGACCCGTCTATGTACGACACAGTGACCCCTCTATGTACGACACAGTGACCCCCGTCTATGTACGACACAGTGACCCCTCTATGTACGACATAGTGACCCCTCTATGTACGACACAGTGACCCGTCTATGTACGACATAGTGACCCCTCTATGTACGACATAGTGACCCCTCTATGTACGACACAGTGACCCCCGTCTATGTACGACACAGTGACCCCTCTATGTACGACACAGTAACCCCCGTCTATGTACGACACAGTGACCCCTCTATGTACGACATAGTGACCCCTCTATGTACGACACAGTGACCCCCGTCTATGTACGACACAGTGACCCCTCTATGTACGACACAGTGACCCCCTCTATGTACGACACAGTGACCCCCGTCTATGTACGACACAGTGACCCCTCTATGTACGACACAGTGACCCCTCTATGTACGACATAGTGACCCCTCTATGTACGACACAGTGACCCCTCTATGTACGACACAGTGACCCCTCTATGTACGACATAGTGACCCCTCTATGTACGACACAGTGACCCCTCTATGTACGACACAGTGACCCCCTCTATGTACGACACAGTGACCCCCGTCTATGTACGACACAGTGACCCCTCTATGTACGACACAGTGACCCCTCTATGTACGACATAGTGACCCCTCTATGTACGACACAGTGACCCCTCTATGTACGACACAGTGACCCCCTCTATGTACGACACAGTGACCCCCGTCTATGTACGACACAGTGACCCCTCTATGTACGACACAGTGACCCCTCTATGTACGACACAGTGACCCCCGTCTATGTACGACACAGTGACCCCTCTATGTACGACACAGTGACCCCTCTATGTACGACACAGTGACCCCCTCTATGTACGACATAGTGACCCCTCTATGTACGACACAGTGAACCCTCTATGTACGACACAGTGACCCCTCTATGTACGACATAGTGACCCCTCTATGTACGACACAGTGACCCCCATCTATGTACGACACATTGACCCCTCTATGTTCGACACAGTGACCCCCGTCTATGTACGACACAGTGACCCCTCTATGTACGACACAGTGACCCCCATCTATGTACGACACATTGACCCCTCTATGTTCGACACAGTGACCCCCGTCTATGTACGACACAGTGACCCCTCTATGTACGACACAGTGACCCCTCTATGTACGACATAGTGACCCCTCTATGTACGACACAGTGAACCCTCTATGTACGACACAGTGACCCCTCTATGTACGACACAGTGACCCCTCTATGTACGACACAGTGACCCCCGTCTATGTACGACACAGTGACCCCCGTCTATGTACGACACAGTGACCCCTCTATGTACGACACAGTGACCCCCGTCTATGTACGACACAGTGACCCCTCTATGTACGACATAGTGACCCCTCTATGTACGACACAGTGACCCCCCTCTATGTACGACACAGATATGTCACCGTGTCCTGTTCACATCCGCCAGACGAGGCAGCCGAGTGGTGGAATGTGTGGGGAGTGGCGAGGGGAGTGAGACGAGAGAGCAATCAAATTGTGCTCACCGTCTGGTCAGCGATCCTAGATCACGTGCACACGGCTGTTTGTTTACTCACACTGGGAGTGGCGCTAGGGGCGTCAAATGCCATCACTGGATGATAATTTGAACCAATAGGAAGGCGTTTTATTTTCCGTCCACGCTGCATATTTCCTCAGTTATGCAAATGTATATTTAAAACAAAAACATCTGGGCCAAATGAGCCCCCTTTCAATTTATTGTTTTATCCGTCGATTCTATAAGGTCACTAAGAAATTATTGATGTGAGTTATAATTCTTGTCAACCCACACGTCCACGTGGGCCACACAGACTGACCATTTGGACCATGGTGTAGGCAGCAGACACATCCCCCACACTATTGCTTACAAATCACCCAGACATCACACAGACTACTTCACTACCACACCCACTCCATACCCACACACCACACACACCACACACACCACACACACCACACACACCACACACACCACACACACCACACACACCACACCACTACATCACCCACACATCATTCACACTACATCATCCAAACTCACTCATACACTACACTCACCCCACAAGCACACCCCACCCCACTGACACCCCCTCACAGTTGACACCCCCCACAGATGACGAGACTGTCCAGCACTGAGCCCACCAGCAGCGTGTTGTTGTAGCAGACGGCCACAGATGACCCCGAGATGAGGTCACCGTGGTCGTAGAACTCCTCTGTGACGTCATCTAGGTCAGGCAGTCCGTTAACAAGTGGGACCTTTAGCACCTGCGGACAAGGTAGTGCTATTTTTAGATATGAAATGTGAACATAGACAACAAATGTGAACATAGACAATAAATGTGGACATAGACAACACATGTGAACATAATCAACAAATATGGACAAAATCAACAAATGTGGACATAGAGATGTGGACATAGAGATGAAATGGTGGTGTGGAGTAGGTCTTAAAACCTCATTAAATTAGACAGAGCAGGAAGGCCTGAAGCCCTACTTACAGAAGACGGTGCCCCAACAAGCCCTACTTGCAGAAGACGGTGCCTTAAGGCCTACTTACAGAAGACGGTGCCTTAAGGCCTACTTACAGAAGACGGTGCCTCAAGCCCTATTTACAGAAGACGGTGCCTGAAGCCCTACTTACAGAAGACGGGGCAACGTTTGCTGGATCAGTCAACAGCCGGAACAGCTGGTAGCCGATAGGGTGGCAGCCGATGTACAGGGAGTTACCGTCCTTGGAGAGATGCATGTTGTCAGGGGAGGTAAATAGATTAATTGTCTGCACCAAATTTAGAGAGTCGCTTCCCTTGCGCTGATAGACTTTCAACTCTTGAAGAATTGGTGAAGTCACGTACACATATCTGGGGAAAATGAATTACAAAACATATTTCATGTAATTGTTAGTGGGTGACACCCCCACCCCGAATTACACAACATATTTAATGTAATGTTAGTAGTATATTAGGTCGCTTTTGATTATTATTTTTGGCGGAGCAGGATGTGGGGAGGAGCAATGACATATAGTAAAATACTCAGAGCAGGATCCGCAGCCTGGTACAATGAGATATAGCAAAATACTCCCAGCCTGGCGCATCGGGATGTGGAGGGTGGGTGAGCAGGATGCGCAGCCTGGTACAACGACATATAGTAAAATACTACGCCAACTGGGGTTGGCGGAGCAGTGAAGGGTGAGTCACCTTTTGGTGACCTTGTGACGTAATCATTGACCTTGTGACGTCATCATTGACCTAGTTACGTAATTTTAATGCGTTTTTTAATGAGTTTTAATGAGTTTTTTAAATTTTAATTAATTTTTGACCTAGTTACGTAATTTTAATGTGTTTTTATTACGTAATTGTTTAATTTGTTTGATTTAAATTGTTTAATTACTTTGTTTATATTGTGTAATTATTATTAACGAGTTGCGTAATTTGATTATTTGTTTACTTTTTAATTATTTTTATTTTGTTTATTTTTAATTTTATTTTATTTTATAATTAGTTAAATTATTATTAACTAGTTACGTAATTTGATTTTAATTACTTTGTTTAATTTAATTACTTTGATATATTTCTTTTCTTTGTTGTTTAATTTGTTGGTTTGTTTGAATGTATGTATGTTTTAAATAAAAGACTAACACTAGCCGTGTACTAGTCTTTGTATAACATCCATTTAACCAGACATGTAACATCTGTTACTTATCGATCCGCGATCCTTTGTTGACACACGCTGCGCGGTTTTTAATGGGTATTATATCGATCGCAGCCGCTGGGCCATTACAGCATGATGCCCCACCTAATTAAATTGGTTATGCTTCACCGAGTTTCCCCCGCTCGGTTGACGGGTTATGGTAATTACGACGTACATTAAGTAGCTTTCCGCGTAATCCTTTGTTTTTGTCAAACACTGGACAACGGTCCAGTTAATATTGATTCCACCCACTGACCATCAGTATGATGGCCCACCTAATTAAATTTTGGTCACGCATCGTGGGTTTATGTCGACTACAAACATCCATTAGAGACACCTGTTACTCGCTAATGGCACCCGACACGTATCGATCCACCAGCGATCCTTTGTTCTTGTCAAATACCGTACAAGGGCCAAGTTAATATTGATCGCACCCACTGACCATCAGTATGATGGTCCACCTATGTGTAATTTTTATTAACGAGTTACGTAATTTGATTTCAATTTTTTAAATTTTTAAATTTTTAATTTAATTTTATAATTACTTTAATTATTATTAACGAGTTACGTAATTTGATTTTAATTTTTTAAATTTTTAAATTTTTTTAAATTATTATTTTTAAATTTTATTTTTAATTGTTGTTTACTTGTTGTTTAATTTAATTACTTTGTATAATTTATTTGTTTGAAATTCATTTTAATTAGTTTGCTTTTAATTTCTTTGTTGTACGCCGTTTGAAATAAAAGACTAACACTAGCGTGTACTAGAAAGTGTCATTGTGTATAACATCCATTTAACCCCAAGCTGTTACTTATTAGCGACAGCTTGTACTTATCGATCCGCCCGTGATCCTCCCCGGCGCTCCCCGTGGTTGCTTAATAGCGGGCTCACTGAAGCGATCACAACAGGTAATTAATCGAAGCCATTAAGTCCCTCTCCGCGTTAAGTGTGGCGACAGCTGGTGCTGTAATTAGTCACGGCTCTCGGCTTTTTTCATTAGACTACAGCTGTACATGAACTATGTTCACATATCATACGCCCGGTCATTCTTTGATCAAATTAAAAAATTTTGTTTCCACATGTCATGCGAACCGTCCCTTGCTATGTATGAAAGATTAATGGTTGTAACTATTCGCTTATAGCGAGGGTCAACGAAAACAAAAATATATTTAAGGGTCGGAATTTTCTTTCAACCACCGTTAAGTCAGGTTTTGAGACGAAACGAAGTCTCGGTAGGTTCGTGTTTTTTAATGGGCGACAGGGCGACTTGGTGCGTTGGTACGTAGGTATGCGGGGTAGACATGTTTTTTACAAGTCTGGAAAAGTAATTACGTTTTTTTTTTTTATGACCGTTCCGATTTTCTTTTGATCTGACCACCATTTGACCACACTGAGCCAGATAAATTTAACAATCGTCGCAGCGGGGTTTATTTTAAGTGCACCCCGTGCACGCTTGTTTACATTTTAAAAGACGTGTCGCGTGTCTTCCCCTTACGGCTTCCCTAATAGAGAAACGAGAGGAAAGACAACTGTTCTAAAATTAGAACAGCCTTGTTTACAGCCATGAGTATCGTCCCTTGTGAAAAAATTCGCGTCAGAATCATTAACTAAACATTCAATTTCTTTAACAAGTTAAAAAATAATTTAGGAAGACAAGGGTTAACAACATTAGACGCCACCGTTTTTGTTTCCTGCGACGACAAGGCACAATACACTTTTTTATTTTATGTCTCAAGTAGAGGGGTGGGATATTTTTTCTTTGTAAGCGTGTTGTAAACAATAGGTAGACGAAGCGATTACTAAGTAAGAGGGGAGAGAAGTGACGTACATCGCGATATTTGAAAACATGGCGATGTTTAACCTCAACCAAAAAAGGCAATGAACCTAGAAGGAAGACGAATATATATCTTAGTCTTGCAGCAGATTACCTTCCCATGTTCGCTTTAGTATTACAGTTTTCATCAATCTTCTTTTTGACTTGAACTTCTTTAATTTTTAAGAAAGTTTCTCTGTCGAAAATGCTACCCCACAACTCGTAAAAACGTTATGCGAGTGCTGTCACAATGTCTTAAGAAGAGACGTTTTGGTCAGAAGAGACGTTTGCGTCGTCACAAAGTGAACTTGAGACAACTTACCAAAAAGAAATTAACCGTCAAAAGACGAAAGCAAATTTTGCAGACCGGTGGTTTCCTAGGTGCTTTACTCGGACCAGTCCTCGGTGTACTTAAAGGTGTCTTGGGATTTTAAGGATGGCCAGGAAAATGCTTTTAATGGATCCTCGAATATTAGAGTCTATGCAACAAAAAGCATATGTACCACCCAACACACTCTAATTACAGCCCACACCTACCGACTCCAAAACATGCATGTTCCGAGTTCAAAACCAACCTCGGTGAAAACTTCACCGACCCTAGTATGAACACGGCCCCTTAATAAATAAAAAATTATTGATTTGTACTTTAGAATGATTAGATTGAATGATATGTATGTTAACGTCATATCATATTTAGTTTATACATCATTATTTTGGTGAAATTTAAATGTAGACATTTTAACGGTGTGTCATTTGACACGACGTACTATAACGTTGTTGATTTTTAAAACTTGAAGTTTATAATCTTAAGCAAATTTACCACCACCTTACCACCACCTTACCACCACCTTACCACCTTACCACCACCTAAGGTGATCAAAAATTAAGATGACAATGTAAGATATAGAAAAAGAAAATACATTGAGTGGTAAAAATAAAAAATTGTCATTAGACGTAATGTATTATGTATAAGTAAACTTTCTTAAAAATTAAAGAAGTTCAAGTCAAAAAGAAGATTGATGAAAACTGTAATACTAAAGCGAACATGGGAAGGTAATCTGCTGCAAGACTAAGATATATATTCGTCTTCCTTCTAGGTTCATTGCCTTTTTTGGTTGAGGTTAAACATCGCCATGTTTTCAAATATCGCGATGTACGTCACTTCTCTCCCCTCTTACTTAGTAATCGCTTCGTCTACCTATTGTTTACAACACGCTTACAAAGAAAAAATATCCCACCCCTCTACTTGAGACATAAAATAAAAAAGTGTATTGTGCCTTGTCGTCGCAGGAAACAAAAACGGTGGCGTCTAATGTTGTTAACCCTTGTCTTCCTAAATTATTTTTTAACTTGTTAAAGAAATTGAATGTTTAGTTAATGATTCTGACGCGAATTTTTTCACAAGGGACGATACTCATGGCTGTAAACAAGGCTGTTCTAATTTTAGAACAGTTGTCTTTCCTCTCGTTTCTCTATTAGGGAAGCCGTAAGGGGAAGACACGCGACACGTCTTTTAAAATGTAAACAAGCGTGCACGGGGTGCACTTAAAATAAACCCCGCTGCGACGATTGTTAAATTTATCTGGCTCAGTGTGGTCAAATGGTGGTCAGATCAAAAGAAAATCGGAACGGTCATAAAAAAAAAAACGTAATTACTTTTCCAGACTTGTAAAAAACATGTCTACCCCGCATACCTACGTACCAACGCACCAAGTCGCCCTGTCGCCCATTAAAAAACACGAACCTACCGAGACTTCGTTTCGTCTCAAAACCTGACTTAACGGTGGTTGAAAGAAAATTCCGACCCTTAAATATATTTTTGTTTTCGCTGACCCTCGCTATAAGCGAATAGTTACAACCATTAATCTTTCATACATAGCAAGGGACGGTTCGCATGACATGTGGAAACAAAATTTTTTAATTTGATCAAAGAATGACCGGGCGTATGATATGTGAACATAGTTCATGTACAGCTGTAGTCTAATGAAAAAAGCCGAGAGCCGTGACTAATTACAGCACCAGCTGTCGCCACACTTAACGCGGAGAGGGACTTAATGGCTTCGATTAATTACCTGTTGTGATCGCTTCAGTGAGCCCGCTATTAAGCAACCACGGGGAGCGCCGGGGAGGATCACGGGCGGATCGATAAGTACAAGCTGTCGCTAATAAGTAACAGCTTGGGGTTAAATGGATGTTATACACAATGACACTTTCTAGTACACGCTAGTGTTAGTCTTTTATTTCAAACGGCGTACAACAAAGAAATTAAAAGCAAACTAATTAAAATGAATTTCAAACAAATAAATTATACAAAGTAATTAAATTAAACAACAAGTAAACAACAATTAAAAATAAAATTTAAAAATAATAATTTAAAAAAATTTAAAAATTTAAAAAATTAAAATCAAATTACGTAACTCGTTAATAATAATTAAAGTAATTATAAAATTAAATTAAAAATTTAAAAATTTAAAAAATTGAAATCAAATTACGTAACTCGTTAATAAAAATTACACATAGGTGGACCATCATACTGATGGTCAGTGGGTGCGATCAATATTAACTTGGCCCTTGTACGGTATTTGACAAGAACAAAGGATCGCTGGTGGATCGATACGTGTCGGGTGCCATTAGCGAGTAACAGGTGTCTCTAATGGATGTTTGTAGTCGACATAAACCCACGATGCGTGACCAAAATTTAATTAGGTGGGCCATCATACTGATGGTCAGTGGGTGGAATCAATATTAACTGGACCGTTGTCCAGTGTTTGACAAAAACAAAGGATTACGCGGAAAGCTACTTAATGTACGTCGTAATTACCATAACCCGTCAACCGAGCGGGGGAAACTCGGTGAAGCATAACCAATTTAATTAGGTGGGGCATCATGCTGTAATGGCCCAGCGGCTGCGATCGATATAATACCCATTAAAAACCGCGCAGCGTGTGTCAACAAAGGATCGCGGATCGATAAGTAACAGATGTTACATGTCTGGTTAAATGGATGTTATACAAAGACTAGTACACGGCTAGTGTTAGTCTTTTATTTAAAACATACATACATTCAAACAAACCAACAAATTAAACAACAAAGAAAAGAAATATATCAAAGTAATTAAATTAAACAAAGTAATTAAAATCAAATTACGTAACTAGTTAATAATAATTTAACTAATTATAAAATAAAATAAAATTAAAAATAAACAAAATAAAAATAATTAAAAAGTAAACAAATAATCAAATTACGTAACTCGTTAATAATAATTACACAATATATACAAAGTAATTAAACAATTTAAATCAAACAAATTAAACAATTACGTAATAAAAACACATTAAAATTACGTAACTAGGTCAAAAATTAATTAAAATTTAAAAAACTCATTAAAACTCATTAAAAAACGCATTAAAATTACGTAACTAGGTCAATGATGACGTCACAAGGTCAATGATTACGTCACAAGGTCACCAAAAGGTGACTCACCCTTCACTGCTCCGCCAACCCCAGTTGGCGTAGTATTTTACTATATGTCGTTGTACCAGGCTGCGCATCCTGCTCACCCACCCTCCACATCCCGATGCGCCAGGCTGGGAGTATTTTGCTATATCTCATTGTACCAGGCTGCGGATCCTGCTCTGAGTATTTTACTATATGTCATTGCTCCTCCCCACATCCTGCTCCGCCAAAAATAATAATCAAAAGCGACCTAATATACTACTAATGTTAAGTGTGTGACACCCCCCCCCCCCAGCTAATCTATCCAAAATAAAGTACCAGGCTCTAACTTAGGCCGTGAAATAACATCAGTAACAAAACGACATCTGTGTTTTCTTCGGTGTTTAACTCTGTGTTCAGGTCTGTGTTTAGGTTTGTGTTTATGTATATTTTCAGGTCTGTGTTTAGGTTTGTGTTTAGGTCTGTGTTCAGGTCTGTGTTTAGGTTTGTGTTTATGTTTATTTTCAGGTCTGTGTCTTCGTGAAAGAGTTTCAGGAAATAAGGTTAAGGAGTTCATTGTTTTCCTCTATTTTCGACGAAAACAGAAAAACTCTACTTTACCCACCAAACTCAAAAAGATAAAACTTATTTTTTTCTCAATGGTGATGTTGACAGAGTTGATGTACACGGTGTTGTTGACATTGTTGATTTATTTAGGTGTTGACAAGGTTGATGTAGATGGTGATGATGACAGGGTTGATGTAGATGTTGATAGGGTTGATGTAGATGGTGATGTTGACAGGGTTAATGTAGATGTTGATAGGGTTGATGTAGATGGTGATGTTGACAGGGTTGATGTAGAAGGTGATGTTGACAAGGTTGATGTAGATGGCTTTGCTAACCGTTACGAAACTTACCTTTTATCAGCTGACAAACTCACACCGTTTGGACTGATTACGTCATACACCACGTGGTGGTAATCGGCGCCATTAAAAAACACCACTGTCGTCAGTGAAACCGGAAGTATACTCTCCAAGAACAAGAGGGAGTGGGTGGTGAAGTAGTTAGAGTTGCTGACGTAGAACTGGTCCTCCGCCACCACCGCCAGGTCGTTGAGCAGGAAAAACTTTTCGTCCGTGAAAAACTTGACGTGCTCGAGTTCGCCAGTCTCCGGCAGAAATCGGAACTTCTCGACTCTGTCCGGCAGGTTGTCGGGGTGGCTGACGACGTAGAGAAGATGCTGCTTGCTCGTGGAATCTTCCAGAAGAGAAATGCCGTGGGGGTGGAACGTTTCCGGGTTAAAATTTGGACTGGGTCGAACTTTCAACTCGGTGACCCCAGCTTCCGGTTTATTGAAGTCGAACAAGACGATGCGACCTTTGACCTTATTGGTGGTGATGAATTCTTTGTAACGTGGGGCTGCTCCAGAAAGGGTTAAACCGGAAGTAATGAAAGCAAAGCCATCACTGGTCACGTGAAAGTCCTCAGATCCAAAGTTGTGTCCCTTGACGCGGCTGCAGACAAAATGGAGGACAGACAAGGTCAGGTTATAAAAATATATTTAAACAAGTGGGAGCAGGGTTTCTTTCTGACACTTTTCTACAGGAAGTAACCGGGGTGGGGTACAAAATGAGCACTCAACCACCTTTCACTAACTACCAACCAACACCCTGTCAGTTAACTACCTAACCAACACCCTGTCAGTACCCAACCAACACCCTGCCTGTACCTAACTACCTAACCAACCTGCCTGTACCTAACTACCTAACCAACCTGCCTGTACCTAACTACCTAACCAACCTGTCTGTACCTAACCAACCTGCCTGTACCTAGCTACCTAACCAACCTGCCTGTACCTAACTACCTAACCAACCTGCCTGTACCTAACTACCTAACCAACCTGCCTGTACCTAACTACCTAACCAACCTGCCTGTACCTAACTACCTAACCAACCTGTCTGTACCTAACTACCTAACCAACCTGTCTGTACCTAACCAACCTGCCTGTACCTAGCTACCTAACCAACCTGCCTGTACCTAACTACCTAACCAACCTGCCTGTACCTAACTACCTAACCAACCTGTCTGTACCTAACCAACCTGCCTGTACCTAACTACCTAACCAACCTGCCTGTACCTAACTACCTAACCAACCTGCCTGTACCTAACTACCTAACCAACCTGCCTGTACCTAACTACCTAACCAACCTGCCTGTACCTAACTACCTAACCAACCTGCCTGTACCTAACTACCTAACCAACCTGCCTGTACCTAACTACCTAACCAACCTGTCTGTACCTAACTACCTAACCAACCTGCCTGTACCTAACTACCTAACCAACACCCTGTCAATACCTAACTACCTAACCAACCTGTCTGTACCTAACTACCTAACCAACCTGCCTGTACCTAACTACCTAACCAACCTGCCTGTACCTAACTACCTAACCAACCTGTCTGTACCTAACCAACCTGCCTGTACCTAACTACCTAACCAACACCCTGTCTGTACCTAACTACCTAACCAACCTGCATGTACCTAACTACCTAACGCCTGCCTGTACCTAACTACCTAACCAACCTGCCTGTACCTAACTACCTAACCAACACCCTGTCAATACCTAACTACCTAACCAACCTGCATGTACCTAACTACCTAACGCCTGCCTGTACCTAACTACCTAACCAACCTGCCTGTACCTAACTACCTAACCAACACCCTGTCAATACCTAACTACCTAACCAACCTGCCTGTACCTAACTACCTAACCAACCTGCCTGTACCTAACTACCTAACCAACCTGCCTGTACCTAACTACCTAACCAACCTGCCTGTACCTAACTACCTAACCAACACCCAGCCACCTTGAGCACCTGACACTACCTGTATGTTTACCTGCATCTCCCTGGGTGATGACGCTTGTAGTGCAGGTGAAACCCTAGAAACAACACAACCTTGACAATGTACAGCAGGGTCAAGGTCACCAAGGTCACAGCCAAAACCTTAACAATCATAGTTTCTGATTTTTGTTGAGACAAAATGTATTTCTATTTGCTGCAGATAAAATGAAACAATGTAAGCACACGAGAGTGTTTGACTTGACCCACTGGGCATGAGGCTACTCTAAAAACCTTCGCAAAAACATAAAATACATTTCTATGTTCAGATATATCGAGTTAGCTTTGATAAATATTGTGAAGTAATGTGCAATGGCCAACAGAATATCCATTGGCCAACAGGATATCCATTGGCCAACAGAATATCCATTGGCCAACTGAATGTCCAGTAGTCAACTGGTCGACAGTCACTTGACGGCGAACAAACCCACGACAAAAATTGAACATCCGAATCACAAGTTACCATTGGATATTATACTCAAACACACACGGCACAGTGGGTCGTATAGAGCCCACCCAAGCAGTACCAGTTGACCTGCCAATGTTCCAGTCAACTTGCCAGTGGTCAAGTCAGTTTTTATACAGCAGTCGTCACTCCAGATGAGAGTTATCCCAAGAAAATGGCTGACGTTGGGCTCGATCAAAACTTTGATACGTCATGACGAGGGAAATTAGGGGGGGGGGTGTATGTGCTGGATGGTGGGAGTCCCGCCTCACCACTTTAAAATCAGTGAACCGTGACAGCGATGGTCTATACAGATTTGATGCCTGGGCCAGGCTTGCTGTCTGCCCGACACTTTTGTCGCCAAGTTCCAAATACCAGTGTAGAGCTATTGACATCTCGCCCAATGGGTTGGGTTAGAATAAAGGGGAGATTATTCACTGCCGCTGGGCTGAGAATAAAGGGGGGGGGGGGGGGTCCATATGTAAACATGTGAGTTGGGCCCCGTGTGTTTAGGTATAAAGGGGGACAACATCTTATAAATCTAGAACACCACCGCGACTTACATGTATGAAGATCTAGACCCTCACAATTTACCTGTATATAGATCTAGAACTGTACAACTTACCTGTATATAGATCTAGAACTGTATAACTTACCTGTATATAGATATAGAACTGTATAACTTACCTGTATATAGATCTAGAACTGTACAATTTACCTGTATATAGATCTAGAACTGTACAACTTACCTGTATATAGATATAGAACTGTATAACTTACCTGTATATAGATCTAGAACTGTACAATTTACCTGTATATAGATCTAGAACTGTACAACTTACCTGTATATAGATCTAAAACTGTACAATTTACCTGTATATAGATCTAGAACTGTACAACTTACCTGTATATAGATATAGAACTGTATAACTTACCTGTATATAGATCTAGAACTGTACAACTTACCTGTATATAGATCTAGAACTGTACAACTTACCTGTATATAGATCTAGAACTGTACAACTTACCTGTATATAGATCTAGAACTGTACAACTTACCTGTATATAAATCTAGAACTGTACAACTTACCTGTATATAGATCTAGAACTGTACAACTTACCTGTATATAGATCTAGAACTGTACAACTTACCTGTATATAGATCTAGAACTGTACAATTTACCTGTATATAGATCTAGAACTGTACAACTTACCTGTATATAGATATAGAACTGTATAACTTACCTGTATATAGATCTAGAACTGTACAATTTACCTGTATATAGATCTAGAACTGTACAACTTACCTGTATATAGATCTAGAACTGTACAATTTACCTGTATATAGATCTAGAACTGTACAACTTACCTGTATATAGATATAGAACTGTATAACTTACCTGTATATAGATCTAGAACTGTACAACTTACCTGTATATAGATCTAGAACTGTACAACTTACCTGTATATAGATCTAGAACTGTACAACTTACCTGTATATAGATCTAGAACTGTACAACTTACCTGTATATAGATCTAGAACTGTACAACTTACCTGTATATAAATCTAGAACTGTACAACTTACCTGTATATAAATCTAGAACTGTACAACTTACCTGTATATAAATCTAGAACTGTACAACTTACCTGTATATAAATCTAGAACTGTACAACTTACCTGTATATAAATCTAGAACTGTACAACTTACCTGTATATAAATCTAGAACTGTACAACTTACCTGTATATAAATCTAGAACTGTACAACTTACCTGTATATAAATCTAGAACTGTACAACTTACCTGTATATAAATCTAGAACTGTACAACTTACCTGTATATAAATCTAGAACTGTACAACTTACCTGTATATAAATCTAGAACTGTGCAACTTACCTGTATATAAATCTAGAACTGTACAACTTACCTGTATATAAATCTAGAACTGTACAACTTACCTGTATATAAATCTAGAACTGTACAACTTACCTTGGTACGTACCTATGTACATGTAGAATCCCGAGGGAAGCACTTACAACCCGTTAATACAATCGGTATAATGGGTCCTCATATACAGTGATTGATGTCAGAAAGATAACGTGGAACTAAATTATAATAAAAATGTATTCACGCGAAAAAAATAAACCGGGAGTGATCTCCCCTAAACTTTCTCGAATATTCTTATATAAAACAACAGGGGATGGGAGGAACTCGGGATATAGTTATGATTTTTAATCCATTTTAAATACATAAACTTTTTTAAATAAAATAGAATCTCATAGAAAAAAGTATTGCACACCAAGCGAAAGCCGAATAAATATGTTCATAATGGTGCGCAATATTATTAGTACTTTATAAATTTAAAGGCGTTTTTTGAGAAATCGGAAATAGCGTAAATTAGTACTTTCCGTCAACGGAAATTACTCAAAATTTAACACAATGTAGAGAATTAGATCTTTTACTTACAGGTGAAATTTCATTTATCTATCTGAAATAGTACTCAAGTTATAGGCTTTTGAAAAATTCAAAGTAGAAAAAGTACCACTTCCGGTTATCGGAAATCGCTCAAAAGTTGATACGGATCTACGATTTTGATAAAATACTTATATATGAAATTTCATCAACCTAGCTGTAACGTTACTCAAGTAATCGTGTTTACACACACACACACAGACACACACACACACAGACATACGGACAAGATTGCAAAATTATGTTTTTCCGTATCAGTGAGGTGTAAAACGTCGAGATTTGTAAAAATCTCGATTTTTTTTTTTGCACGATTACAATACTTTCTCTATACTACGTATATACGAGAAAGTAAAAATCAACCAAACACCAGAGAAATGAATAGTTACATCCACTGTGTTCCATCTTCCTAGGTCGCCCGCCGATCGTGTCAGCTGATGATGCTATTGTCAATGCCAACAAAAAAAAAAATTGATGATGTGAGATAAATCCGGATGACTATGCCACAACTATTCGGTAACAGTAAAATATCTGAATTGTTAAATAGTAATCTACAACTTTGTAATTTAATACTATAATTAAACGGCACGCTACTCTAATCCTCGGTTCTAATCCCTGCCCGCATTCGTTCAGGTGCGGAGACTACTTCACCTACGCTGTGACGACACCACACCGTCCATCCAAGACGCCACAGAAAGGCTGCGGGACTCGGGTAACCGGGCCGAGGTCTCTCCCTCCTGGGGGGGGGGGGGGGGGAGAGGCGGTTTCCATGTGTCCTGTTGGGTCCTGTGCCCAGAGGACTCATGGGACGTCTTGGAAAAAAAAAGAGCGGGAGGCTGTGGTCTCTGGGCTCTAAATACCCATCACTGCTCACCAGTCGCCGTGCGTAACTAAGCCACGCGTGATATGCCGAGACGTCTCGAGAAACACATCACGAGACGTCTCAAGACACACACCACCGAGATACCGAGAAACAAGCTCCACACAGTGACAGGTACTGTTCAAAAGCCAGAAATTGGCTTCCCTGTTAGGGTCGTCCGTTAAATGACGTCACGTTAAACGCGGGGGGGGGGGGGGGCGGATTCATGTTAAAATTTGAAAATGTACAAGAAGCTAATGAATATGCTTAGTTAAGATGTGTTTTAAAATCAGTAAACCGTTATGTCATTTTGGGAGGTGCCTGGTGAACTGTGATTTCATTTAGGGAGGTGTCTGATTGTGTAGGGATAGAGAAGGGGTGGGAGGTATAAATCATCGAAATTGACGTCATTTATGGATGCCCCTTAAATAAATAACAAAGGTAAAGTTTATAGCACATACGCGGACGTTCTAGAAAGCTCTACAATATGTTGTCACTAAAGCTGATTTAACTTAATTCAAATGTCGTGTTAATGCTTCGTCCGTCTTATAACGAAGGTTGAAACCTGCGAACGAAAATCTACCCATTTCTACCTATACGTCTTGTATCGAAGGTTGAAACCTGCGAACGAAAATCTACCCATTTCTACCTATCCGTTTTGTTTTAACTATGATACGTCTGTCAATACTTAAACATATACTTTGATATAATTAGATCCAGTTGTCGTGCGATCTTAAAATGTGATCACTGTGTTAAATGACCTGATAGAATGTACTGGATCTTCACGCTAGGTATCGTGCACACAAGAGTTAGGTGTTTAATACTTTGCTGCTTGCTAAATGAGTCGTCCATAAACTGTTGTTTATTTTAAAACGGACAATGTGAAAAAAGGCCTCCGTGCCTACAATTGTTACCGTAATTGAATAAATTGTACCCCCTTCCCCCACTACCCACAATCTTCACACATCTTCACAAAAAAGTCCGACACGCCCCTTAAAATGGCACCTCAATTTTCTCAATCCCCGTTTCCCCTACTCCGTCTGTTTATTCTTTTCTGTAATGGGATCTAACCAAGCTTGAATGATTTTAAAGAAAATATTAATTGAATAGTGTCCCTTTGTACCTTTTTTTTTTTTTACAGCAGATCCGGCTTAATTTAATATTACATTTATAGATCTAGATCTAGGTCAATATTCATATGTAACAATCATTTTCAAAAATTATTTTAAAAACTAATTTTTAAATGTAAAAAAAAAACATTTTTTTATTCAGTCATATTATTTTAACCTTTTTTTAGGCAACAATCTGAGACGAACCCGTTTTATAAATTATTTACTTATTTTACCCATATGCCTTTTTAAATGAATAATAAATTAAAAAGTGCTACCTTAAAATAAGATGAAATCCGAAAACAAAACAGTACCATTGGTTGTTTCGGCATGGCTCCAAAGAGAACAGGCAGATTTACCAGCACCAGAGGTAAACCAAAGCGAAAGAAGTACAACCTGTTAACCATCAGACAGCAAAAGGACTACCGGGAATTTGGTGAAGCTCACCCTGTAGACAGCCGGTAATGATTTTACCTAGGCTAGTTATTAACTTATTAATAAGTTAAAATTAATTTTTGCTATATGGTAGGCCGGTTCGTCCCTTAGATGGCTGGATTGACCTCTGACCCTGAAACGTCACGCGTCGTTTTCTGACGGTTTCTACGTTTATTTTAGGGGTCCTATCCACGACAAATTAAAGAACTGTTTATCTCGCCAATTCTCATCATTATTTTAACACAAAATGCTAATAAAATGGATAATATGCCTTAGAATGCCAGAAAAAATCGCGAGAATTGTGTTGGTAAATAATGAGAGGATTTCTAGTGGAGCACTCTCCGTAAAAACTGAACCGCGGCCAAAAACGACCCAATAACGGGGAAAACGGCTCTGATAACACTAAATTAATATATAATTGAGATAATTACCATGTATATTTACAGTATTATCGATTCTACTTTCCAAAATCTAATTCCAAAATGAGGTACCCACGCTGACATTTCTATCCGCTATTTTTAGTATCATGACGTCATTGCTACGCTAGTTGCCAGACTGAAACAACTAGTTTTTGTTTTTTACGGAATGAACTGTTAAGTCTAGTATTTTAATTATTATTAAATATTATTCAATTGTAGCATGTGCGGAAAAAGTAAAATTATGGACATTATTATTGTATTAGTAATTTTATTAGTATATTGATTTTTTCTTCACTGTGGGCCGACAGTTGCTGCATTCGTGACCGGTGGTTAACCTCGTCAACGCCGCGTGGCCTATTCGTTTATATAATCAGTGATGCTCGTTCAGTGGCCTTTTTCAGCGCTAGGCCTAATTACGGGCGATTTTTAGACTTAATTGATTGGCCGTTAGCCTTTTTCATTGCTGCGTATTTTAAAAAATGCTCATTCAGCGACCTTTTTTTTTTTTTTGGCGCTAAATAATCTGTTTACGGGCATTTTAAGTGTTTATTTATTTATTTTTTTAAGCTAGACGTAGATCTAGTTAAAAAAAAATATTTTTTTTATACAGCTGGCTGATATGCGAACTTTAAATAAAAATGACCGAGCTTTAAAAAAAAAATGACCAGAAGGGAAATAGGTCTGTTTTTCAATTAGCTTGAAGAAGGGTGGGGGGGGGGGGGGGAAGAGAGAGAGAAGTGAAGACACCGACCATCTCGTGTACGCGTGTTCATTCTATGACGTGTACTATAGGCCTGCTGAAGTCACGGTGACCCCGCGACCGTGGTGGGATTTTTCATCCACAGGATAGTAAACATAAGCAAGCAATCACGCGAGTGACGATGTTTGGAGATTTTATTTTTAAAAAAAATCACATACGTCATGTTTTCAAGATGAAAAAAAAAATGTAATGTAAAAAAAAAAAAGACACTAATACTCTTGTATGAACCTCAGCTGCCACACTGTTGACTCAATATAATGTGATTGAGTGTAAAATGTATTTGTATTTATAAACTATCTTACTCTTAACTAACTATTACTATCATATTATTTTATGCATATTTATTTATTATTTAAAATTAGAATTTGAAATAAAAATATTTATTATGGTCATTTGATTTATGCAGGTGTTCATTACTTCATAAAATGGTATGAATAACATGTAGAGTAGAATTTAATAAATAATAAAATAACTAGATCTAGTTTTATTATCAACCAGTTGCTTTTTGTTATTTTCCGGTGAGTAAATAACCTAAGCTGACGCAATTACCATGGCGGGAATTAAAAGCTCGTGCACACAAGTCCACGACGTCATGTTATGCCGGTCGAGGAGCAAAAACGATGTTCTGACTTTCATTTTCCATTCTCGGAAAAATTTTAAATTCTCTCTTTTCTCGTCAACCGATTAAGCTAGATATTTAAATGTGGTGTCAAATGTTCTCTTAAGGGGTAAGGAACTTAATGGTGTATTTGAAATAACAGAATATTTTATTTTAAAAAATCCATAATTAAACCTACTATATGGACGACGCTGCCGCTACGGCGCGGCTACGGCATCTGATGAAAACATCGCTAAACTTTATATTTTATTTATTACTGAAAATTTTTAATTCAGTTGTTCAAAAACAGGTACATGAATGATACTTGAAAACATCTGTAAAATCATGATATAGTAGGCCGTTCGATTCACAGCTTCCGGGTTTGTTGTTTTGAAACCATCTCACGGCTCATGCGCTTACCAAAAATGGCGATCAGTTTCGCTTTCACTAATGGGTAGAGGGATAAAACTAATGATTACAAAGCCATCGTTAATTTTAGAAATCGGAACTATCCGTTTCTATTTAAGTCTGTTATTTAAGAATTGTAGGATCTACTTTTGGCCTAATTTCTTTGATTGTTTCGCAAGCGGCGCCGTAGTGAAAGTGGTTCTATATAATTCTTATCTTTCGAATCAAATAACTATAAAATACCGCTGCTATTTTTAACCAGACTATGTTTATTTGAAACTTGAAAGCATTAATTTTACACGCATTACAATAAACTGGTAGTAATTTATGGTTCTCTATGAGATATTGTCTGTGAAAATAATAATGCCATTATATTATAATCTTTTTTGGTGAACACGAGGCGCGGGAAAATGTGTGACTCGCAAGAATCCAATCATTTGGCTAGATTTATGACTGGTTTTTTTTATGTCAGACCTAAAAATAGAATGTTTACGCTTTCTTCATTGATGATCGTTTTCATTATTTTTTAAACTGAAAGTATGAATTATTAGTTAGATTTCAGGTTTTGTAACTTGGTACACTTACCCTTTATCAATTTTAAAAGCATAGCATGCTGATTGTGAACAAATATAGTCATAAAACACAGAAATATAAAGTTACAATGCGATGTGCCACACCCGGGTCACACCCCCTGTTATGATGCATGTTTGACTTGGGAGATCGGTGCGCAGGATTGATGGTGCGGCCGTATATTGAACGAGTGAGTGTGTGACGCTGTACGCAAGAAAGTGACGTTTTAGTGTGAGTTCCGTTGTTGCCGGGGAAGAAGATTGAAGTTAGTCTTGTCCGTGTTATGTTAGGGTTAGGTTGTCTAGTTGTAGTATTGTTTGTCCAAGCTGTTCGATGTCCATTTCTGATTGTGCAATAAATAGAGTTAGTAACCGATGTCATTCTGTCGAATCATTCGTAAGCGTTGACATCGTCGTGTCTCAAGATATACTGTAGCATAGCTAAACATAATCAAATGGTAGTGATATGGAAAGATGGTATTGGATCAGGTAGTTGTACCCTCTCACTGCATAACTGTGGTACACATATAGAACTCAGCAGTTATAGCACCCCCTCAAGAAAACACATGTTTATTAAGCTGTTTATCTCACTTTACGACACTAATTACAACAGTAATTAAAAGTAATTGTCAAATTTTTATTACTTATTGGGTAAGATTAAAAAAATTTAAAATTTAAAAAAAAACGAAAGTAAATTCTGTTTTAATGAAGGTCACAGGTCAAATTTTTTTTCCTTCAGTCAAGTTCAGTGGAGGGTGCCACAGGCTGACCTGAATTTGGAATTTTTTTCAGAAATAATGACTTTGCACAGAAAGTTAAAATATGCTTAATTGGCTTAGTTTACTAGTGTGCTAGCTATTATTGATACATTTTTTTAATTAAAAAATCATTATGAAATTTTCATCAAAATGCCAAGATATAGAGTCGCAAATTATCCGGTGATTTTTGTTGAGTTTCGTAAACATTCATTACCGTCATAGTTTAGATTTTCTCACTAAATCTAGAATTTACACAATTATCAATTTAAACAAGACCACTAAATAGACATCCATATTTAATCCATAAGCTCTAATTTTGAAGTTTTTAGTTCGTTTTAAACTAAATTACTTAATTTAATATTTATTGACACTCACTGCCATGAACAACACACCTCTCCATGACAACTCTTCTTACGCTTGAAGCTAAAGAAAACCACAAATTTGGTTAGACTTTTTAAGTGGCCATGCACAAGAGTTCCTCACTAGTTTTCACCAAATAGTGGTCTCGTGGGTTTTTTTTTTTTCAAAAAAAGTTTGGTTATCATTTTTTTGGCCAGTCTTATAACAAAGCGGCTGACGATATTTGATTTATTTTTTCATAGACTCATAAAACTAATAATGCTTTACTGTAGAAATCAATTTTGTAATATGGCAATCAATATTTAAAAAGTTCTAGTATTTTTAATGAAACTGTTATAACTGGGTTCTATATGTGTACCACAGCTATGCAGTGAGAGGGTAGAACTACTTGATCCAATACTATATTTCAATACCACTACCATTTGATTATGTTTAGCTATGCAATAGTGCATCTTGAGACACGACGACATCAACGCTTACTAATGATTTGACAGAATGACATTGTTTGCTAATTCCATTTATTGTACCATAAGAAGTAGACATCAGACAACTTGAACAAACGATACTAAGACTGGACAACCTAACCCTAACATCACACGAACAAGACTAACTCAAACTTCTTTCCTGGCAACAACGAACTCACACTAAAACGTCACTTTATTGCGTACCGCGTCACACTTTCACTCGTTCAATATTATCGCTTCGCACCAGCATTCATGCGCACCGATTTCCCTAGTCGAACATGCATCATAATAGAAACCAACTTTTTAATTTAGCCTTCATTCTCCAACACAAATTTTAAAATGCTTTTCTGGCATATATAGCCCTGCCACCTATAGCTTGTTGTTACAGTGTGAAAACTCCGCCAATTTGCGGGTGGTAAACATTTTTAAAACTAATTAGTAGAAGGTCTCTGGAAATTGGCAGAAAAATCGTCGTAAGTCAAGTGTCCGGTCCGGACGCCATATTGTTGTTAGCAACCGACCGCGCCTTCAAAATAAAGTAAACAGTTTTAGTAAAAAGAAAAAGGATCGCCTCTCTAAAAATGCTTAGGCAAACTGTATACAATGTCGGAAAACATTGATTTTGGAATTGCTTAGTTTTTTAGCATTTTACTCTTTAAGACAGGGGTTGGCAACCTGCGGCTTGCGAGCCGCAAACTGCTCTTTTGATATTAATAATATTGATAATTTTATTTTCAAAACTCAAAAAAATATTTTTCTGCAACAGTCGGTAATGAACAATAAAATAATAAACAATAAACACTGGCTATTCTATTATTATATTTAGTTAAGCCCTATTTCAGTGTACTTACTATTAACTTGTCTATCCCAAATTGAAACGTTTAACTTCATGGTGGATATCACAAAGAAACTAAACGAGCTAAATGTAAAACTGCAAGGAAAAATTTGCTATTGGTAAGCTATTTTCAAATGGTGGTTTCATACCCCACCTCCTTCCTCCTTCACTTTGTGGAGTTGATGTTACTAACCCTCGGGCATAGATCAAGAAATCTTGCCAGACTTTTGTCTCTGAAATTACATAATATTCATCTGACACGTTCATTGGGTTGGCCGACTAGCCTAGCATCATTGGATTTGGCATCCACAAATCTATAAAATATCTTAAAATGATATTAATTGGTGAAGTCTGCTTGCATTTATACCTCTTTTAGTGGAAAACTGTTTAAAATTTGGTCCATACCCTCCCAGTATTTTACCTCTTTCATGGTCTATCCCAGTTGTTTGAAAAAAAAAATGCTATTTTTTAATGACTAAAAAATTCATAACTTTTTTATGTCAGATTTTGAAAATTCAAACTGGTCTGTAATCAGATTGACAACCCCTATCTATATTGTTTTACTGAAATTAAATTTTTGCATTGGCTTAGCTAATTAAATGTATTATTAGGTAAGCTTTTTTATTTTATGTACAAATTGGGTTTCTTTTTTGTTTTTAAAATTTCCTTGAATTTTTTTTAAACTCCTAGAAAAGTCCTGGAAAACTCATGGAATTTAATTTGAACTTCAGAGCATGAACCATAATAATATAAGCCACCAAGTAGTCATTCCTTCACTTCTTCTGTCATCAGTACAGCCTCTGTGTCATCATTTTTTGAGCTTAACTAATGAGGTTGTGTCAGTGGAGGGCTCTCCCTGAACACGGCCAGCATATTAAAACATGTTGTTTGTTGGTGGTTTACACAGCCAGCATATTAAAACATGTTGTTTGTTGGTGGTTTACACAGCCAGCATATAGAAACATGTTGTTTGTTGGTGGTTTACACAGCCAGCATATAGAAACATGTTGTTTGTTGGTGGTTAACACAGCCAGCATATTAAAACATGTTGTTTGTTGGTGGTTTACACAGCCAGCATATTAAAACATGTTGTTTGTTGGTGGTTTACACAGCCAGCATATAGAAACATGTTGTTTGTTGGTGGTTTACACAGCCAGCATATAGAAACATGTTGTTTGTTGGTGGTTTACACAGCCAGCATATTAAAACATGTTGTTTGTTGGTGGTTTACACAGCCAGCATATAGAAACATGTTGTTTGTTGGTGGTTTACACAGCCAGCATATAGAAACATGTTGTTTGTTGGTGGTTTACACAGCCAGCATATAGAAACATGTTGTTTGTTGGTGGTTTACACAGCCAGCATATTAAAACATGTTGTTTGTTGGTGGTTTACACAGCCAGCATATAGAAACATGTTGTTTGTTGGTGGTTTACACAGCCAGCATATTGAAACATGTTGTTTGTTGGTGGTTTACACAGCCAGCATATTAAAACATGTTGTTTGTTGGTGGTTTACACAGCCAGCATATTGAAACATGTTGTTTGTTGGTGGTTTACACAGCCAGCATATAGAAACATGTTGTTTGTTGGTGGTTTACACAGCCAGCATATTGAAACATGTTGTTTGTTGGTGGTTTACACAGCCAGCATATAGAAACATGTTGTTTGTTGGTGGTTTACACAGCCAGCATATTGAAACATGTTGTTTGTTGGTGGTTTACACAGCCAGCATATTAAAACATGTTGTTTGTTGGTGGTTTACACAGCCAGCATATTGAAACATGTTGTTTGTTGGTGGTTTACACAGCCAGCATATAGAAACATGTTGTTTGTTGGTGGTTTACACAGCCAGCATATAGAAACATGTTGTTTGTTGGTGGTTTACACAGCCAGCATATTGAAACATGTTGTTTGTTGGTGGTTTACACAGCCAGCATATAGAAACATGTTGTTTGTTGGTGGTTTACACAGCCAGCATATTGAAACATGTTGTTTGTTGGTGGTTTACACAGCCAGCATATTAAAACATGTTGTTTGTTGGTGGTTTACACAGCCAGCATATTGAAACATGTTGTTTGTTGGTGGTTTACACAGCCAGCATATTAAAACATGTTGTTTGTTGGTGGTTTACACAGCCAGCATATTAAAACATGTTGTTTGTTGGTGGTTTACACAGCCAGCATATAGAAACATGTTGTTTGTTGGTGGTTTACACAGCCAGCATATAGAAACATGTTGTTTGTTGGTGGTTTACACAGCCAGCATATTGAAACATGTTGTTTGTTGGTGGTTTACACAGCCAGCATATTGAAACATGTTGTTTGTTGGTGGTTTACACAGCCAGCATATAGAAACATGTTGTTTGTTGGTGGTTTACACAGCCAGCATATTGAAACATGTTGTTTGTTGGTGGTTTACACAGCCAGCATATAGAAACATGTTGTTTGTTGGTGGTTTACACAGCCAGCATATAGAAACATGTTGTTTGTTGGTGGTTTACACACCACTGGTTGAGAAGGGAAATCTGGCGTACATCTATTGGGCTTTTCTGCAATTTGTTTACTGTAGGGAAGCAGGGGTATAGTATAAGCTAGTATATTATATTAATTTATCTAAAACACAGTGGAATTCATCAAAAGTGTTAAAATGTAATTAATCCATGTAATGTAGGCATATATATTATTATAATATAATGTATAAATTAGGTGATAATAATTTAGATCTATACTAATAACTAGGCCTATAAGCTTTTATGAACTCACAATGACTCAAGTAGACCTACTTTTTTTTTAAATAGCTTGGTTTGGGGGAAAACTAAAAGTGATGTTATAGACTTTCTCAAATAGCAATAATTGTTCATGCCATGATGGGTCTGCTGATATCTTAAATGGGACCCCTAACCATATCAGTTGACTATAAAATGTGAATTGTGCTCATGCAAATTTAGCTTTTTAATATATTTTTAAAACTTCCATTTAGGTCAGGAAAATATTCTTTAAAAAATAACACTTGTGACATTAGCAATCTGAAAAAAGCAAGCAAGACTCTGATTCTGCTTTAAATTCAGAGCTCCTAGGTTAGCTATCACATTGTCACCTCAACCATGCCACAATGTGTTAAGAATAGAAATATTAATTATTTTAGTATCTTCAATCAGTGGACAGCTTAAGTACACAGCTTCATTTCCTTACAGCTAGATGAATGATCTCATTATTCCAAAAAATGTATTATACATTAACAAGTGCATGCGTTGTTGCCTAATCAGTTCATATTTGATCTGGCATCATCAGTAGAATTACTCTTTTGCCTTTATTGAAAATCAAAATCATCGTTAGGGTAAATTAGAGGGGTCCTTTCTTGTCACTTGTAGTAGCTTATGGTTCCTGATCTGAGTTTTGTATAATGCGAAATCAAATTTGGTCTGTGTCATACAGTTTTCAAAATTCTCCTGTAACAAGCCCATACTTTCTGGACCCTTTCATCAGAGATAGGGGCTATTAGGTCTGTGTTATGAACTGTCATTGACCCTGCAAATGTTCTCTGGCCATTATGAATCCTAATCATTACAAAACTAGCCTGGACAATACCTCGATTCATATTAAGCCTACATCAAATTTTTGTTTCAACTATGCCTGGATATTTATTTTTTAAAACTGACATGGTGTGGGTAATATTATCTGCAGAATTACTGTTAAATTACTTAAATAGATAGATGCAATCAACGAGGCATTTTTTTTTTGTTGGTGTTTTTAAAGTTTTTAACTAAACAACTGTGCCCATCTAGATCTCTCATAAGTGGGTTTTTTTAAATAATCTTTTTTTATCTAGATTTTTTAAATTCAAGAATTGTGCAAATTCTAAACATGATTGCCAATTCCAAATTTCTTGCTCCAGCAAGATTTGTCCTGTTCTCCCCATTCTGCTATGTTAGGTACTTGGTCAAACATTTTATTTTTAATATTTTCATAGCTTAGTGTGGCTCTCAATTGATACCTTTTTTGGTACTTGGTCAAACATTTTATTTTTAATATTTTCATAGCTTAGTGTGGCTCTCAATTGATACCTTTTTTGTACTTGGTCAAACATTTTATTTTTAATATTTTCATAGATTAGTGTGGCTCTCAATTGATACCTTTTTTGTACTTGGTCAAACATTTTATTTTTAATATTTTCATAGCTTAGTGTGGCTCTCAATTGATACCTTTTTTTGTATTATGGGGTAGACAATAGTTGATTAACTTGGTTTTATTTTTCCAGTGAAAAGTCCAAGAAATATATCACAGTACAGGACGAAGTGGATCACAAGGACAAACAGGTTTGACTTTTTATGTTACAGTAACATTAGATTTTGTCATTCTTCAAATTGTGATTGGCACCTGAAGTTTTTCTCCTTCCTGTACTTGCTATTGTCCCACATTTTTAATCCTATGTTTTGGTGCCTTTCTTTTTTTCTGTCTAGCACAGCTAGATGTTTTGGTACCTTTCTTTTTTTCTGTCTAGCACAGCTAGATGTTTTGGTACCTTTCTTTTTTTCTGTCTAGCACAGCTAGATGTTTTGGTACCTTTCTTTTTTTCTGTCTAGTACAGCTAGATGTTTTGGTACCTTTCTTTTTTTCTGTCTAGCACAGCTAGATGTTTTGGTACCTTTCTTTTTTTCTGTCTAGTACAGCTAGATGTTTTGGTACCTTTCTTTTTTTTCTGTCTAGCACAGCTAGACTGTAGCTGCCTATTGTGTGACTGATATCACACTGTTATGATTTATCTTTTAACTTGTATGACTGAGATCAAACTGTTATGATTTATCTTTTAACTTGTATGACTGATGTCACACTGTTATGATTTATCTTTTAACTTGTATGACTGATGTCACACTGTTATGATTTATCTTTTAACTTGTATGACTGAGATCACACTGTTATGATTTATCTTTTAACTTGTATGACTGAGATCACACTGTTATGATTTATCTTTTAACTTGTATGACTGAGATCACACTGTTATGATTTATCTTTTAACTTGTATGACTGATGTCACACTGTTATGATTTATCTTTTAACTTGTATGACTGATGTCACACTGTTATGATTTATCTTTTAACTTGTATGACTGATGTGATATCAAACTGTTATGATTTATCTTTTAACTTGTATGACTTATATCACACTGTTATGATTTATCTTTTAACTTGTATGACTGAGATCACACTGTTATGATTTATCTTTTAACTTGTATGACTGATATCAAACTGTTATGATTTATCTTTTAACTTGTATGACTGATGTGATACCACACTGTTATGATTTATCTTTTAACTTGTATGACTGATATCACACTGTTATGATTTATCTTTTAACTTATATGACTGAGATCACACTGTTATGATTTATCTTTTAACTTGTATGACTGAGATCACACTGTTATGATTTATCTTTTAACTTGTATGACTGATATCACACTGTTATGATTTATCTTTTAACTTGTATGACTGTTATGATTTATCTTTTAACTTGTATGACTGATGTGATACCACACTGTTATGATTTATCTTTTAACTTGTATGACTGTTATCACACTGTTATGATTTATCTTTTAACTTGTATGACTGTTATGATTTATCTTTTAACTTGTATGACTGATATCACACTGTTATGATTTATCTTTTAACTTGTATGACTGATGTCACACTGTTATGATTTATCTTTTAACTTGTATGACTGATGTCACACTGTTATGATTTATCTTTTAACTTGTATGACTGATGTGATATCAAACTGTTATGATTTATCTTTTAACTTGTATGACTTATATCACACTGTTATGATTTATCTTTTAAGTTGTATGACTTATATCACACTGTTATGATTTATCTTTTAACTTGTATGACTGATATCAAACTGTTATGATTTATCTTTTAACTTGTATGACTGATGTGATACCACACTGTTATGATTTATCTTTTAACTTGTATGACTGAGATCACACTGTTATGATTTATCTTTTAACTTGTATGACTGATATCACACTGTTATGATTTATCTTTTAACTTGTATGACTGATGTCACACTGTTATGATTTATCTTTTAACTTGTATGACTGATGTCACACTGTTATGATTTATCTTTTAACTTGTATGACTGAGATCACACTGTTATGATTTATCTTTTAACTTGTATGACTGAGATCACACTGTTATGATTTATCTTTTAACTTGTATGACTGAGATCACACTGTTATGATTTATCTTTTAACTTGTATGACTGATGTCACACTGTTATGATTTATCTTTTAACTTGTATGACTGATGTCACACTGTTATGATTTATCTTTTAACTTGTATGACTGATGTGATATCAAACTGTTATGATTTATCTTTTAACTTGTATGACTTATATCACACTGTTATGATTTATCTTTTAAGTTGTATGACTTATATCACACTGTTATGATTTATCTTTTAACTTGTATGACTGATATCAAACTGTTATGATTTATCTTTTAACTTGTATGACTGATGTGATACCACACTGTTATGATTTATCTTTTAACTTGTATGACTGAGATCACACTGTTATGATTTATCTTTTAACTTGTATGACTGATATCACACTGTTATGATTTATCTTTTAACTTGTATGACTGATGTCACACTGTTATGATTTATCTTTTAACTTGTATGACTGATGTCACACTGTTATGATTTATCTTTTAACTTGTATGACTGAGATCACACTGTTATGATTTATCTTTTAACTTGTATGACTGAGATCACACTGTTATGATTTATCTTTTAACTTGTATGACTGAGATCACACTGTTATGATTTATCTTTTAACTTGTATGACTGATGTCACACTGTTATGATTTATCTTTTAACTTGTATGACTGATGTCACACTGTTATGATTTATCTTTTAACTTGTATGACTGATGTGATATCAAACTGTTATGATTTATCTTTTAACTTGTATGACTTATATCACACTGTTATGATTTATCTTTTAAGTTGTATGACTTATATCACACTGTTATGATTTATCTTTTAACTTGTATGACTGATATCAAACTGTTATGATTTATCTTTTAACTTGTATGACTGATGTGATACCACACTGTTATGATTTATCTTTTAACTTGTATGACTGAGATCACACTGTTATGATTTATCTTTTAACTTGTATGACTGAGATCACACTGTTATGATTTATCTTTTAACTTGTATGACTGAGATCACACTGTTATGATTTATCTTTTAACTTGTATGACTGATGTCACACTGTTATGATTTATCTTTTAACTTGTATGACTGATGTCACACTGTTATGATTTATCTTTTAACTTGTATGACTGATGTGATATCAAACTGTTATGATTTATCTTTTAACTTGTATGACTGAGATCACACTGTTATGATTTATCTTTTAACTTGTATGACTGATATCACACTGTTATGATTTATCTTTTAACTTGTATGACTGAGATCACACTGTTATGATTTATCTTTTAACTTGTATGACTGAGATCACACTGTTATGATTTATCTTTTAACTTGTATGACTGATATCACACTGTTATGATTTATCTTTTAACTTGTATGACTGATGTCACACTGTTATGATTTATCTTTTAACTTGTATGACTGATATCACACTGTTATGATTTATCTTTTAACTTGTATGACTGTTATGATTTATCTTTTAACTTGTATGACTGATGTGATACCACACTGTTATGATTTATCTTTTAACTTGTATGACTGTTATCACACTGTTATGATTTATCTTTTAACTTGTATGACTGTTATGATTTATCTTTTAACTTGTATGACTGATATCACACTGTTATGATTTATCTTTTAACTTGTATGACTGATGTGTGAATTCTATTCTGATGACCTTGGCCACGCCAGCCCCCAGTTGTTGAGAGCTCAGATGAAAGCGAGGAAGATGTGCCCATTATCAAACAACTCATGCAGGAAATAGGAGTGAGAGAAGAGGAGCCTGAGTCAGAGATAGAGGAGGGGGGTACAGAAGAGGATGAGGATGTGGGTGACAGTGGGCAGGAGGAGGAGAGTGGTGAGGAAGCTGAAGAAGCTGAACTTGCTGACAGTGACGCAAGTGAAGCAGATTCGATGTCAGATTCTGCTGACAATCCAACTGTTGAGTCACAAAAGCAAGATCCATCTTTAGAAAAGGGTGAGGATAGTTCAAGCTTTTGTCTTCAAGTATTTTATTTTTATCATATTAGATAATCGCCTTTTATATTTTTTTAACTTTTTTTTTTTGCTACTTAAGCACCACATTCCAAATTTTACCAGACAGATGATGAAACAGATTTTGAATTTAGTTATTTATAAAAAAAAAATTATGACTAGGACTGAGTCATACTTTTTATAGTAGTAATGATGGTGAAACAAACTCTGACTAAAGACTTGCAACACTAACTGTAGTTATAAAATATTTTAAACAATGTACTATCTTTTAGTGAAATTATTTCTTTATTATTAAGTTGATTTTAAATTTAAAAAATATTTTAGAAATAATTTCATACCAAACTTGTTTGAGGTTGTCTCCCTTGGTTTACAGTTTCTGGAGTAGGTGCTAGTGGCAAATAATTTTAGTATTTTATCAATTCAGAAACAATTTAAAAACTTATTTCTGCAATTTAACTGTATGCAATTTTTTTCAGATGTTGTGTATAAAAAGATGAATATTGTATTGCTGCACCTACATTGTAATTCAAATATTGATTTTTGTTTTCATAATTTCTGTTTCCAGATGAAGCTAATGACGGTGAGGAAATAAATGATGATGAGGTAGATGAAGATATAGTGGCTGAGGAAGTAGATGAAGAAAGTGATAATGAGCACCAAGATGAGCTGAGTTTAAAAGAATCAGGTCAGTTAAGTTCTTCACTGGCTCAAACTTTGCTGCATGGGTAGTCTGTCATATTTTGCTGCATGTGTCATCTGTCATATTTTGCTGCATGGGTCATCTGTCATATTTTGCTGCATGTGTCATCTGTCATATTTTGCTGCATGGGTCATCTGTCATATTTTGCTGCATGTGTCATCTGTCATATTTTGCTGCATGGGTCATCTGTCATATTTTGCTGCATGGGTCATCTGTCATATTTTGCTGCATGGGTCATCTGTCATATTTTGCTGCATGTGTTATCTGTCTTATTTTGCTGCATGTGTCATCTGTCATATTTTTCTGAATGCATCATGTTGCAGGATTTTGCAGATCTTTAATAGATAACTGACATTTATTACAAATGTTAGCTTGTTAATTTTTAAAATCACTTTTTTAATTTAAACAGCCTGACATGACTACATTTAAATGTGTATGTTGTGGAAGGACTATATATCTAATCAATGGGAAACACTTGGTGGTGGTGTTTAATTTTTGTGCATATTTTTTCAATGGATCATTTTGTTTTCCCATCCAACAGACCCCTTCACCAAACATTTTGAGTTGGAAACTGATATCTCAGAGATTGTTGAAAACACAAGCTTGAAATGGAGGAAAAAAGAACTCAAGGTAAGTCTGGGAACATTTTTTATCTTGAGCAAAATACTAAACTTTTGTCTGGAGCAAAAAACTAAGCTTTTGTCTGTAGCAAAAAGCTAAACTTTTGTCTGTAGCAAAAAGCTAAACTTTTGTCTGTAGCGAAAAGCTAAACTTTTGCCTGGAGCAAAAAGCTAAACTTTTGTCTGTAGCGAAAAGCTAAACTTTTGCCAGGAGCAAAAAGCTAAACTTTTGCCTGGAGCAAAAAGCTAAACTTTTGTCTGGAGCAAAAAGCTAAACTTTTGCCTGGAGCAAAAAGCTAAACTTTTGCCTGGAGCAAAAAGCTAAACTTTTGTCTGGACCAAAACTAAACTTTTGTCTGGACCAAAACTAAACTTTTGTTGTTTTCTTTCTCTGCCAGCTTCCAGGTCTAGGTGAAAGTTTACTTTTTTACAAAACAGCTGACCACTTGCCTGACCCAGAGAGCCACAGTGACCTGAAGAAACTTCATGTAAGTCTAACCATTCTGTCTGCTCTCCTATGTCCTAGTGGCTCATGTAAGTCTAACCATACTGTCTGCTCTCCTATATCCTGGTGGCTCATGTAAGTCTAACCATACTGTCTGCTCTCCTATGTCCTAGTGGCTCATGTAAGTCTAACCATACTGTCTGCTCTCCTATATCCTGGTGGCTCATGTAAGTCTAACCATGCTGTCTGCTCTCCTATATCCTGGTGGCTCATGTAAGTCTAACCATACTGTCTGCTCTCCTATATCCTGGTGGCTCATGTAAGTCTAACCATACTGTCTGCTCTCCTATATCCTGGTGGCTCATGTAAGTCTAACCATGCTGTCTGCTCTCCTATATCCTGGTGGCTCATGTAAGTCTAACCATACTGTCTGCTCTCCTATGTCCTAGTGGCTCATGTAAGTCTAACCATGCTGTCTGCTCTCCTATGTCCTAGTGGCTCATGTAAGTCTAACCATACTGTCTGCTCTCCTATATCCTGGTGGCTCATGTAAGTCTAACCATGCTGTCTGCTCTCCTATATCCTGGTGGCTCATGTAAGTCTAACCATACTGTCTGCTCTCCTATATCCTGGTGGCTCGTGTAAGTCTAACCATGCTGTCTGCTCTCCTATATCCTGGTGGCTCATGTAAGTCTAACCATACTGTCTGCTCTCCTATATCCTGGTGGCTCATGTAAGTCTAACCATACTGTCTGCTCTCCTATATCCTGGTGGCTCATGTAAGTCTAACCATACTGTCTGCTCTCCTATATCCTGGTGGTGCTAGCTACTGGGTGGGTGGTGGACCTAGCTGGTGGGTGGTGGACCTAGCTGGTGGGTGGTGGACCTAGCTGGTGGGTGGTGGACCTAGCTACTGGGTGGGAGGTGGACCTAGCTTGTGGGTGGGTGGTGGACCTAGCTGGTGGGTGGGTGGTGGACCTAGCTTGTGGGTGGTGGACCTAGCTACTGGGTGGGAGGTGGACCTAGCTTGTGGGTGGGTGGTGGACCTAGCTGGTGGGTGGGTGGTGGACCTAGCTTGTGGGTGGTGGACCTAGCTTGTGGGTGGGTGGTGGACCTAGCTGGTGGGTGGTGGACCTAGCTGGTGGGTGGTGGACCTAGCTACTGGGTGGGAGGTGGACCTAGCTTGTGGGTGGGTGGTGGACCTAGCTGGTGGGTGGGTGGTGGACCTAGCTTGTGGGTGGTGGACCTAGCTTGTGGGTGGGTGGTGGACCTAGCTTGTGGGTGGTGGACCTAGCTGGTGGGTGGTGGACCTAGCTGGTGGGTGGTGGACCTAGCTGGTGGGTGGTGGACCTAGCTGGTGGATGTGTATTCACCTGGATCTTACAGTCTAGGTACCCACACCTCCAGTATCTGATGTTGTGGATAACTAATCTCTTACATCTGATGTTGTGGATAACTAATCTCTTACATCTGATGTTGTGGATAACTCATCTCTTACATCTGATGTTGTGGATAACTCATCTCTTACATCTGATGTTGTGGATAACTCATCTCTTACATCTGATGTTGTGGATAACTCATCTCTTACATCTGATGTTGTGGATAACTCATCTCTTACATCTGATGTTTATTTCCCCATACTGTATGTTCATCAACTAACTTTATTGGCTGGCATTAAACTTTTGTCATCCTGTTCTTCTTATTCCCAGGTAAAACACAAATTGTGCAACAAGGTGCGCTCAACAAACACACAGCTGGCCAGTGTTGAGCTAAAGTCTGGAGGTAAGTGGAAATTTGCTGGCCAGTGTTGAGCTAAAGCCTGGAGGTAAGTGGACATTTGCTGGCCAGTGTTGAGCTAAAGCCTGGAGGTAAGTGGACATTTGCTGGCCAGTGTTGAGCTAAAGCCTGAAGTAAGTGGACATTTGCTGGCCAGTGTTGAGCTTAAGGTAAGTTGACATTTGCTGGCCAGTGTTGAGCTAAAGCCTGGAGGTAAGAGGACATTTGCTGGCCAGTGTTGAGCTAAAGTCTGAAGGTAAGTGGACATTTGCTGGCCAGTGTTGAGCTAAAGTCTGGAGGTAAGTGGAAATTTGCTGGCCAGTGTTGAGCTAAAGCCTGGAGGTAAGTGGACATTTGCTGGCCAGTGTTGAGCTAAAGGTAAGTGGACATTTGCTGGCCAGTGTTGAGCTAAAGTCTGGAGGTAAGTTGACATTTGCTGGCCAGTGTTGAGCTAAAGGTAAGTGGACATTTGCTGGCCAGTGTTGAGCTAAAGGTAAGTGGACATTTGCTGGCCAGTGTTGAGCTAAAGCCTGGAGGTAAGTGGACATTTGCTGGCCAGTGTTGAGCTAAAGTCTGGAGGTAAGTGGACATTTGCTGGCCAGTGTTGAGCTAAAGCCTGGAGGTAAGTGGACATTTGCTGGCCAGTGTTGAGCTAAAGTCTGGAGGTAAGTTGACATTTGCTGGCCAGTGTTGAGCTAAAGCCTGGAGGTAAGTGGACATTTGCTGGCCAGTGTTGAGCTAAAGTCTGGAGGTAAGTTGACATTTGCTGGCCAGTGTTGAGCTAAAGCCTGGAGGTAAGTGGACATTTGCTGGCCAGTGTTGAGCTAAAGCCTGAAGTAAGTGGACATTTGCTGGCCAGTGTTGAGCTAACGCCTGGAGGTAAGTGGATATTTGCTGGCCAGTGTTGAGCTAAAGTCTGAAGGTAAGTGGACATTTACTGGTCAGTGTTGAGCTAACGCCTGGAGGTAAGTGGACATTTGCTGGCCAGTGTTGAGCTAAAGGTAAGTGGACATTTGCTGGCCAGTGTTGAGCTAACGCCTGGAGGTAAGTGGATATTTGCTGGCCAGTGGTGAGCTAAAGCCTGAAGGTAAGTGGACATTTGCTGGCCAGTGTTGAGCTAAAGCCTGGAGGTAAGTGGACATTTGCTGGCCAGTGTTGAGCTAAAGTCTGGAGGTAAGGTGACATTTGCTGGCCAGTGTTGAGCTTAAGGTAAGTTGACATTTGCTGGCCAGTGTTGAGCTAAAGCCTGGAGGTAAGTGGACATTTGCTGGCCAGTGTTGAGCTAAAGTCTGAAGGTAAGTGGACATTTGCTGGCCAGTGTTGAGCTAAAGTCTGGAGGTAAGTGGAAATTTGCTGGCCAGTGTTGAGCTAAAGCCTGGAGGTAAGTGGACATTTGCTGGCCAGTGTTGAGCTAAAGGTAAGTGGACATTTGCTGGCCAGTGTTGAGCTAAAGTCTGGAGGTAAGTTGACATTTGCTGGCCAGTGTTGAGCTAAAGCCTGGAGGTAAGTGGACATTTGCTGGCCAGTGTTGAGCTAAAGGTAAGTGGACATTTGCTGGCCAGTGTTGAGCTAAAGCCTGGAGGTAAGTGGACATTTGCTGGCCAGTGTTGAGCTAAAGCCTGAAGTAAGTGGACATTTGCTGGCCAGGGTTGAGCTAAAGCCTGGAGGTAAGTGGATATTTGCTGGCCAGTGGTGAGCTAAAGCCTGGAGGTAAGTGGACATTTGCTGGCCAGTGTTGAGCTAAAGCCTAGAGGTAAGTGGACATTTGCTGGCCAGTGTTGAGCTAAAGGTAAGTGGACATTTGCTGGCCAGTGTTGAGCTAAAGTCTGGAGGTAAGTTGACATTTGCTGGCCAGTGTTGAGCTAAAGCCTGGAGGTAAGTGGACATTTGCTGGCCAGTGTTGAGCTAAAGTCTGGAGGTAAGTTGACATTTGCTGGCCAGTGTTGAGCTAAAGCCTGGAGGTAAGTGGACATTTGCTGGCCAGTGTTGAGCTAAAGCCTGAAGTAAGTGGACATTTGCTGGCCAGTGTTGAGCTTAAGGTAAGTTGACATTTGCTGGCCAGTGTTGAGCTAAAGTCTGGAGGTAAGTGGACATTTGCTGGCCAGTGTTGAGCTAAAGGTAAGTGGACATTTGCTGGCCAGTGTTGAGCTAAAGTCTGGAGGTAAGTGGACATTTGCTGGCCAGTGGTGAGCTAAAGCCTGAAGGTAAGTGGACATTTGCTGGCCAGTGTTGAGCTAAAGTCTGAAGGTAAGTGGACATTTGCTGGCCAGTGGTGAGCTAAAGCCTGAAGGTAAGTGGACATTTGCTGGCCAGTGTTGAGCTAAAGGTAAGTGGACATTTGCTGGCCAGTGTTGAGCTAAAGTCTGGAGGTAAGTGGACATTTGCTGGCCAGTGTTGAGCTAAAGCCTGGAGGTAAGTTGATATTTGCTGGCCAGTGTTGAGCTAAAGCCTGGAGGTAAGTGGACATTTGCTGGCCAGTGTTGAGCTAAAGGTAAGTGGACATTTGCTGGCCAGTGTTGAGCTAAAGTCTGGAGGTAAGTTGACATTTGCTGGCCAGTGTTGAGCTAAAGTCTGGAGGTAAGTGGACATTTGCTGGCCAGTGTTGAGCTAAAGCCTGAAGTAAGTGGACATTTGCTGGCCAGTGTTGAGCTTAAGGTAAGTTGAGATTTGCTGGCCAGTGTTGAGCTAAAGTCTGGAGGTAAGTGGACATTTGCTGGCCAGTGTTGAGCTAAAGGTAAGTGGACATTTGCTGGCCAGTGTTGAGCTAAAGTCTGGAGGTAAGTGGACATTTGCTGGCCAGTGGTGAGCTAAAGCCTGAAGGTAAGTGGACATTTGCTGGCCAGTGTTGAGCTAAAGTCTGAAGGTAAGTGGACATTTGCTGGCCAGTGGTGAGCTAAAGCCTGAAGGTAAGTGGACATTTGCTGGCCAGTGTTGAGCTAAAGGTAAGTGGACATTTGCTGGCCAGTGTTGAGCTAAAGTCTGGAGGTAAGTTGACATTTGCTGGCCAGTGTTGAGCTAAAGCCTGGAGGTAAGTGGACATTTGCTGGCCAGTGTTGAGCTAAAGGTAAGTGGACATTTGCTGGCCAGTGTTGAGCTAAAGCCTGGAGGTAAGTGGACATTTGCTGGCCAGTGTTGAGCTAAAGCCTGAAGTAAGTGGACATTTGCTGGCCAGTGTTGAGCTAAAGCCTGGAGGTAAGTGGATATTTGCTGGCCAGTGGTGAGCTAAAGCCTGGAGGTAAGTGGACATTTGCTGGCCAGTGTTGAGCTAAAGCCTGGAGGTAAGTGGACATTTGCTGGCCAGTGTTGAGCTAAAGGTAAGTGGACATTTGCTGGCCAGTGTTGAGCTAAAGTCTGGAGGTAAGTTGACATTTGCTGGCCAGTGTTGAGCTAAAGCCTGAAGTAAGTGGACATTTGCTGGCCAGTGTTGAGCTTAAGGTAAGTTGACATTTGCTGGCCAGTGTTGAGCTAAAGCCTGGAGGTAAGAGGACATTTGCTGGCCAGTGTTGAGCTAAAGTCTGAAGGTAAGTGGACATTTGCTGGCCAGTGTTGAGCTAAAGTCTGGAGGTAAGTGGAAATTTGCTGGCCAGTGTTGAGCTAAAGCCTGGAGGTAAGTGGACATTTGCTGGCCAGTGTTGAGCTAAAGGTAAGTGGACATTTGCTGGCCAGTGTTGAGCTAAAGTCTGGAGGTAAGTTGAAATTTGCTGGCCAGTGTTGAGCTAAAGCCTGGAGGTAAGTGGACATTTGCTGGCCAGTGTTGAGCTAAAGTCTGGAGGTAAGTTGACATTTGCTGGCCAGTGTTGAGCTAAAGCCTGGAGGTAAGTGGACATTTGCTGGCCAGTGTTGAGCTAAAGCCTGAAGTAAGTGGACATTTGCTGGCCAGTGTTGAGCTTAAGGTAAGTTGACATTTGCTGGCCAGTGTTGAGCTAAAGTCTGGAGGTAAGTGGACATTTGCTGGCCAGTGTTGAGCTAAAGGTAAGTGGACATTTGCTGGCCAGTGTTGAGCTAAAGTCTGGAGGTAAGTGGACATTTGCTGGCCAGTGGTGAGCTAAAGCCTGAAGGTAAGTGGACATTTGCTGGCCAGTGTTGAGCTAAAGTCTGAAGGTAAGTGGACATTTGCTGGCCAGTGGTGAGCTAAAGCCTGAAGGTAAGTGGACATTTGCTGGCCAGTGTTGAGCTAAAGGTAAGTGGACATTTGCTGGCCAGTGTTGAGCTAAAGTCTGGAGGTAAGTGGACATTTGCTGGCCAGTGTTGAGCTAAAGTCTGGAGGTAAGTGGAAATTTGCTGGCCAGTGTTGAGCTAAAGCCTGGAGGTAAGTGGACATTTGCTGGCCAGTGTTGAGCTAAAGGTAAGTGGACATTTGCTGGCCAGTGTTGAGCTAAAGTCTGGAGGTAAGTTGACATTTGCTGGCCAGTGTTGAGCTAAAGTCTGGAGGTAAGTGGACATTTGCTGGCCAGTGTTGAGCTAAAGCCTGAAGTAAGTGGACATTTGCTGGCCAGTGTTGAGCTTAAGGTAAGTTGAGATTTGCTGGCCAGTGTTGAGCTAAAGTCTGGAGGTAAGTGGACATTTGCTGGCCAGTGTTGAGCTAAAGGTAAGTGGACATTTGCTGGCCAGTGTTGAGCTAAAGTCTGGAGGTAAGTGGACATTTGCTGGCCAGTGGTGAGCTAAAGCCTGAAGGTAAGTGGACATTTGCTGGCCAGTGTTGAGCTAAAGTCTGAAGGTAAGTGGACATTTGCTGGCCAGTGGTGAGCTAAAGCCTGAAGGTAAGTGGACATTTGCTGGCCAGTGTTGAGCTAAAGGTAAGTGGACATTTGCTGGCCAGTGTTGAGCTAAAGTCTGGAGGTAAGTGGACATTTGCTGGCCAGTGTTGAGCTAAAGTCTGGAGGTAAGTGGAAATTTGCTGGCCAGTGTTGAGCTAAAGCCTGGAGGTAAGTGGACATTTGCTGGCCAGTGTTGAGCTAAAGGTAAGTGGACATTTGCTGGCCAGTGTTGAGCTAAAGTCTGGAGGT